AAGGCGTTTTATGTGCGAAAGCAATTCGCCTTCAGTTGCGTCTGCAGCAATTGTTGTTACGAATATGTTGTGCGTGCTGATTTCAGCACATTACATACTCGACTCTCTGAAGGCGTTTTTTTGGCGCAAGTAGCGAAATCTGTCGGAGAACGAACGAAGTAGGGATTGAGCGATTCAATCACACTTCTGTTGCTCTCCAACAGGGTGCTCTACTTTCGCACATTAAACGCCTTCAAAAAGTCAAGTATGTATTGAACTGAGATTAGCACGCACAACATAATCATAACAACAATTGCTGCGGACGCAGCTGAAGGCAAATTGAAAACAACCGTATAATACACGTTGAAAAAAACTTTTGAACGACATTTTTGTACTTCCCCTCACACTTGTCTCGATTGAGGCAAAACAAAAATGCACCCGAAAATCGGGGGCGAGTCCATGAGTCGCAAATAAAGGTAACCTAACAAGTTTTCACTGATATTTTTGTCCACTGGAAAAAAAATCTAGATCTAGATTCCAGACTCTTAAAAACATCGACAAGAAAAAGTACTCTTGATTCAATCAGAATCTAGCTTAAATTGAGCACCAAGCCTCTTAATTTAAGCGGATTTTGTTTTGATTCAAGGAAAAATCCGATTGAATCAAGAGTATTTTTTCCTGTCAATGTTTTCAAGAGTCTGAACTCTAGATCCAATGTGTTTTTTTTCCAAAGGGCTGGTTTTATTTCGTTAGTGACTCCATCCCTGACTTAATAATTCGTGAACGGATGTTTTTTTTCTGCTTCCCTTTTTCCATGTTATACTGCGTCACTAACGGAAATTGATGACGAATATACGTGAAAAACGAGCCCGTCACTTTATGAACTCATCGCCTGAACCACCCGTCCCTCATCACGCATTAATTGATTCTGCACTTCCCTACTTCCGGAACGTTTCATTTTCCATTAGCCGTGCTATTTAGTGAGCCCGATTATTGAAAGTGAGAACACCCACGCCCAATTCCGACCCAGAGAGGAGGCAGATTTTAACAGGAGCAAGTTACACCTGAGGCTAGACTTGAAATAGCTTATATTGAAAGAAATGGTTTTGAGCTATCGGGATGTTGCTTATTTTTTGGACTTTCGCTTTTACTAAATTGCAGGAAAAAACCCTCACAACAAATAACCTCAAAAATGAAGCGTTTAATTCTAGTTTTGTCATGCTATTTGTAGCCATGAATATAGGAAAAGTAAAATATTTTAAAATCCTGAACAAATTATATTAAATATAAACTTCAAAATCGTAGGAGTGGCATGAATTGAAAAATCAATGAACAAAATTCAGTTTGCTCGGTAATTAAATTGAACATAGTTGAGCGAAATAGTCGCATCTCATTGCGGTGTTTCGAAATCTCATCTCCTATTTTAATGGTTTGAAAGGAAATTAATCGACATTTCATTTCAAACGTTTTTGCACTTTTTCTCGTCCATGTAAAAGTTATTTTTACAAAATGTTGGGAGGTTTCCCTCTAAAAATTTAAAATAGGAGATGAGATTTTGAAACAGTGCGATGTGAATTTGACTCTTTGTCTTGACTCTATCCAAGACTAATTAGTGCTCCCTACCTCAGTACACAAGAGCATTAATTTAAAAAAAAAAATCTAAGGTTGGGTCGAAAAATAGTGGTTTGAGTTTCCGGTTCCGAACGGTGAATCGAGTCAACAGGAGCGGTCGGAAAAAAATTTAGAAACTTTAAACGCTTATGACTCCGTGTATACAAAACTTTGAGGCTTTAAAAGTGGTTCCATTGGTTTCCTCGTGAAATTTGTTTCCATGAGCACCCCTTGAAGTTTCAAATGTTACGGAATAAACATCAAAATTTGCAGTTCAATAAAAAATTTCATATTCGACCTCTCCAATCGACTCCATCCACTGTATCCGGCTAAAAACACCTAATGGCAACGAATATAATGAGCAGTGAGCGGTCTAGTTCGCATTTGTGCCGTCAGAGGGCGTAAAGTTGCAATGTAATAATTGCGTAGGCTATAATCCAACAATTTTGAGAGAGCCTCGCTGCAACGACGGATTACGGAGGCGGCCGGTGTTCTTTACTCCGGGCACAAACGGAAGGAGAAAGAGCCGGAATTCGCGATGGAGAAGTTGCAGAAATATGCTGCCTCGTAATTTCCGATAAAAAGGAAGCATGAGTCACACCCGCTCAGGACGCTCAACCCCCCCCCCCCCCCCCCCCCCCCNTTTCAATTATACGCAGCGCGCAAAGCTCATCTGAGACGCACGGTCAGCTACGCAGCTTTCTCAATGCAGCTATTTCTGAGCCGTCCATTTGTAGCGAGGGAAATTTTGTGGCCTTCCTGACATAAGAGCGTACCTGCACGGAGAGAAAAACTTCGTGCATGGGACCCGAAGTTGAGGTCATATGGATCTCTGAAGTTTTCGGATCACGCAGCCAAAAACTTGAGATCCAACTCCCGAAGTTCGGGTCAGGAATCTGAAGTACTTAGGTATGTACCGGATACTTCAGATGTGTGACCGGAACCCTTCGGTATGTACCTAAGTACTTGAGATGTCTGACCCGAACTTCGGCAGCTGGACCTCAAGTTTTCGGATGCGAGATCCGAAAACTTCAGAGATCCATATGACCTCAACTTCGGGTTCCATGCACGAAATTTTTTTCTCCGCGCGTGATTCGCTTTGCAGAGGATTTAAAATTTGGCCATTATTTCGCCTTCTAATTTGACAGGTAGGCAAATCGCGCACCCCACGCGTTAAAATAGTCGTATCCTCTAAGATGAACAGTTTAATGTACGTTCAGTCCTTCAAAGGACCGAAGTCTTGGCGCTGGACCGACGAAGGCTGGATGAATGGTAATAATACAGTGGGGCCTTATTGAAAAGTGAATAAATTTTCTAACCGTCGATTGATTTAATCTCAAGTATCTATATTTTTTGCGTGGTTAGAAAGAAGAAGAGTAAAAAATGCAAAACCTGTGATTCCGATGATAGATTGGACTATGAACGTGACTGAACAGGGCCGGATTTACTTACTTGCCGCCCATGGGCCGCCTGGATTTTGCCGCCCCCTTCTCATTCGTTTTGAAACATCAATATAAACCATCAAGTAAATGTGCCGGAGGGGGAGGGATGCATAACTCGCGTTTACTCGTTGGACACATTTTTTGCGAAAGCCCTGTCAACACTACGAGCGAAAGTTGACGAAACTTGGCGCGAAAAGTAAGTTCCTGAAACCTATCTGTGTGTGGACAAGGCCTTCCATTCATATGAAATGAACAAAAAAATTATGAAAGAACAAACATGAATGTGATTTAATAATTTTAACTTCCGCCGCCGCTGCTGACCGCAGTGTGTTTGACGCAATGCGGGTAGTATTCATGCAGTCTTGTAGGCGCTATGCGTTTCACGCCGCCCGCTGCTGACCGCAGCGACCGCACTGTCTTTGACTCAATGCGTGAAGTATTCATGCAATCTTGTAGGCGCTAATACGTGTTACATGCCGACCGCCGCGCCGAGGGTTTTTCTTTTTCATCTCAAGTTCTCGTCATCATTGCTCTCTGCGCCGCGCCGTTCCAGGCCAAATTCCGTGTTCGATTTCTCTCTTAGTCTTAACTCGACTAATTAAAGGTGCTATCTAGTGTATCACAGAAAGACGACAAAATTAGAGATGTACTCTCAGGAAATGAGAGATTTTGTCACCTTTTCCCGTTTGTATTTTTTTTCTGAATCCGATTTCTCTTTATACTTACATTTAAAAAAATTGCAAAATTTGCCGCCCCCTAAATTGGCCCATGTGGCAACCCCCTAAATCCGGCCCTGTGACTGAATATGAGTAGATTTCATATCGTGGTATGCAAACAGCGTAACATTTAAACTGATAGTTTGACGTTAAACAAAAAGGCGTTGCGGTAAGGCGTCTGACACCTTGACGAGGCACTTTTCGGTCTTCATTTCTTGTGACTGAGGAAGTGAGGAGGTTTAGTTGTTAAGCGTTGACCCAAAAAATGTTTTCGAGTACGGACAAGCTTCAAGCTATTCAAGGAATCAGCAGTCTCTCACGTGCATCGTGGAGTAATCTAAAGAATGAAGGAATGTTGTTACAGTTACAAAAATACACGCTCATTTGCTCTGGCAATTTTAATCGCAATGAGTGGCAAGAGGGAGCGTCTAAGATTCGGATTATGTACATTTTGTTTCGCTTTTGAAGTTCACTCATGTTCAACATTTTTGCGAGCGATCTCCACCTGAGAGAAAATACGCTTCTGACTATGAAAATAAACATAAATGTCGAAGAATCCAAAAATTCATGAGCCCGTGCCCGATATCTATTCTTTGTGATATTTTTTTGCACAGCTCGAGAGTTCTTGAAATTTCTTTTCATATGCACTTCAAATCAAAATATTCCATTCTCAACCGACTCAAATCGTATCACACGTGATTACAGTTTCACCATCGATTTACTCTCTCTTTCTCTGAGAAGTCCAAAGGTATCAGGAGGCTGCCCAAAAAATAAATGTTCCGGGAACAGCCCTCCCCCGCCGCACGCTGGATCGAGTCAATGAGAGAGGTCGGACAAAATTTGGAAAATTTAAAAGCTTATAACTCCGATCATACAAAACTTTAAGGTTTTATAAATAGATCCAGTGGTTTCCTCGTAAAATTTTCATCTAGAAGCACCTTACAATATTAAAATGTGACGAAATAAAAATCAAAATTTGCAGTTTTAGTAAAAAATGTCGTGTCCGACCTTTCTGACTGACTCGATCCACTGTGCGCCGATACCTATTCCCAGGACCATTTTGAATCTTCGACAATATTGCGATAGCAATTTCAAAATCGAGCATGCTAACTTCTCAGTACTAATTTTTTGCTTTCCCGGAAACCCATGATAGCGAGCGTGTGACTCCGTTTCCATCCCGAGTTGTCATAGTAACTCACATGCCACGCTTCATTCCCGCAGCGCGCAGTTTTTAGGTTAGGCGCTGCGGGCTGCGCGTTTCAAATTGCTAGTTTCGATAAATTTTTTCCGCAGACTCGACACTGTCAAAGAGAGACATATCGCGTTGCGTTTTCATCGTGCTCTGCGAATGAACGCAAATCAGTTTCGCTGGAACCGAGCATGGTTCGGATTCGACATGATTTCCGTGAATCAGGCGTACATCTCCCGGCTTGTCGACGTCTTGTTTTCCTCGCGAATACAGTGAAAAGTGCGTGCTTGAATTCTACCCACCTGTGCAACCGCGAGGTACCCTCATAACCGATATCCACATCATTTTGCTTCCGGGCTCGGGTGAGTAAAAATAATCATCAAACTTGAAATGATTTAAAATGAACATGCAGGAAGCTACGATTTTTCAGTCGGACGCCGTAGTAGCGATGACTATTAGAAAGCAATTTTTAAAAACTTTAAAAACTTTAAATGTTCGTCTTAGGTAACTCTTCCTGGCTATATCTTTCGGTGAAATTCAACACTTTGTGAATTTTACCTGAAAAATTCTACAAAAATTGATTAATTTTTCGCAAGGACGGTTTTTTTGAGTATTTGAACATTTGTTTAAAATATTTTTAGCGTTAAAAAACCACAGTTGATATTTAAAGAGTTTTTTTGACACTTTTTTTTCTTTCTTACAAATTTTACCTTTCTTTACTTGTACTCTAAATTAGTGTTGCCCGGGCAAAATTTGTGTTGTTCTGATATGATTTTGTGTAGATCCGAGGCAATGGCGTGTTGATCCATAAAAATGCCCTGCACAACGCGTTGTGTCAGATCAACCGAGATTTGCCTCAGACCAAAAAATGTATATCCCGACGACAGAATTTCAATTGAAAAACCCGTTATGTAGGGTTAATCCAGCGTCGGTTTTTTTCTCATTTTTTTCCTTTATTTTTAGGTATTTTTATTTTTGGTCCATATCATTTCTTTTTTTCTCCGTGTGAGTTTGAGTCCATATGAACAAAAATTGAAAATTAGGTATGTTTTGAATCTGAACCTCTGAAGAGTCTCTAGATGAAATGCATTGGTAGTCGGATTAGGCTTGTTTGTTTACCGTAGGATAAAATTATGCGGTTAGAGGAAGGAGGAGGAGGAGGGGTGGGTAACCACAGTGGCAGGCGCCGCACAGTAGATCGAGTCAATTAGTGAGGTCGAAAATGCAATTTTTGACTTGAACTGCAAATTTTACTATTTAATTCGTGACATTTTAAATTTATAGGGGTGTGCCTAGAAGGGAATTTTACAAGAAAACCAATGGAACCACTTTTAGAACATCAAAGTCTTGTAAAAACGGAGTTAGAGGCGTTTAAAGTCTCAGAATTTTGTCCGATCTCTCCTATTGACTCGATCCACTGTGCGCAGAGCACGGCGGAATGCGCGCTCCGATTACGGCAATGAAGTAAGCACTGAGCAATGATGCATTTTCAGGGGACAGTTTCACATGCAGCAGTAAATTATCAAGTGTCCTCTTTGTGTAAGGATAACTACTGAACTATGGCTTAGGACCGGTAGCGGGGAAAGGATCCTCAAGTAGAAAAAAACTCAAAATGGGGTTGATAACGCCGCACTAGAGACTTTAAAAGTTTATATCTTCCTTAATTCAAAACGTGAAAGTTTAAAGGATGTTTCATTGATTTCCTCATAACATTTCCTGTAAGAATCACACCTTAAAATGTATAATGTGACGAAATGAACATCAATTTGCAGTTTCGCAGGCTGGCAGTTTCTCTACTGAGCAACTAGTCGGTACAAAGGAGAGAAATGTTTTCTCTCCTGAGCACCGAGTTAGTGCTTAGGTACGGATACGGATACTGACTGGTTGCTTAGGTGAGAAACTCTTGCTACCCTGGGTCCCTATATAATCGTATCAAGGAGCAACCCCTGGTAAAAATTGGCGATGGGAGCTGCGTTTCAAAATACCATAGGAGCTCTTATATCCGACTGAAGAAGGCGATAGAAAATCATACAGCTGGCTGTAGAAAGTGGAAAAAGTTATACAGCCGGGCTACACGAAGCGATAAAAAATTATACAGCCGGGCTATAGTTCCTATCGCCGGGCTTTACACTTTATCGCCTGGCTGTTGCTTTTTCGCCATCGGCTATGGGAAATTGTGTAGAAATTCGTGTGCTTTGTAAATCCCTAAGTTTGCACGGAATCACCTTAATATTTACAAAACGCACATTATATTTTCCTTTACTACATATTTTTTTTTTCATCAATTAAAATGAGAATAATCCATACAGAGTGTGCAAACATTTCAAAGTCATGAATTGAAAAACGCTGACTCCACGAGATTAAATATTAGAGCCTAACACAAAGCGGAGCGGCGAGGCACTGGCGCCTTCAAACCTAACAGGGATACATCACGCATTGCGCAATGCGTGAAGTATCCCTGTTAGGTTTGAAGGCGCCAATGCGCGTTCCGCGCTGGCTGCCCGCCCGCCGCGCCGCGCCGCGCCGCAGCGTACCACGGCGCTTGAAGCAAGTATTTCATACCAGAGGTATTGCACAGTATCATACGAAATTGCAGGCGCTCCAACATGTCAGGAATGGCAGGCATCCTTTAAAAGTACGGAGCTTTCCTTGCAAAATAAATCAAGATACTACGGCCCAAAAAGAGAGCAGTAGTCGAAAAACTCACTAAGTCCTAGCATCCGTAATTAGTAACGTTTAGCATACATTTTATCGCCAGGCTGTTGCTTAGTCGCCGTCGGCTATAAAAGGCTATAAGAAATTGTGTCGCCGGCAATAGAAGCTATTGGAAATCTTACAGCCGGCTGTAGGTTTATGGTATTTTGGAACATTTTGGAACACAGATTCTACTGTCAATGTTTACCAGGGACTAGTTGCCCAGGAGAGAGAACATTTCTCTCGAAAACAACTACTCAATGCAGAGACGAGAAATGTTTTCTCTCCTGGGCAACTAGTTGTTCCTTGATACGATTATATAGGGACCTAGGGTAACGAAATTTTCTCACCTATGCAACCAGTCAGTGGAGAGGAGAGGAATATTTCCTCGCCTAAACATTAACTAGTTGCTCAAGGAAGGTATGTTCTATCTCCAGAGCAAAAAGTTGATGCTTAGGAGAGGAATGTATCCTGTTCTAAGAATGAACTAGTTGTTCAGGAGAGAAACATTTCTCACCTCTGCATCGAGTAGGTAGTTGTTTACGAGTGATATTTTTTCTCTCCTGGGCAACTAGTTTGTGCCTAGGAAAGGAAAGTCTCCTCTCCGAAGACGAACTAGCCAAAGTCAGAGATTCACGCTGACATAAGCCTGATCAGTCTGACTCAGGGTAGTTTATGAAACATATTCTGAAGTCAGGCTGACTCACTTTTACTAGAGCAGTTAAAATTGTCATGTCCGACCATTCGCAATTTTTCATCTCATTGTACGCCGGAGTGTAGAGAAGTATTCAACGCACATTTAGGAACCAAAACTCACTAAAACGTCGAATAAAACCGAAGTTACCACCTTTTGAAAAACCTGTTCTTAAGAGTATGCTGTTTAAAATTTGAATCTGCAACCTTAAGAGCACGAAATCACCTAATTACCGTGCAATTTTACGCCCTTGATCGACACATACAATAATGTATTATGCGGTCGAAATTTATTTAGAGAGTATTTTGCGTCGAAGTCTCAAATGAAAGTGATTCGACTAAACTTGACAAAAAATAAAAAAAATACTTTACTGAAATACCTTCCTCTCCATGGACGAAGGCAAAGCGTAAGAGGTTTCTTTAACGCCATACCAGTTCGCCTTCAATATTGAAGGTAGGCATCACGAGCTCCCGAGGGGTCGAATAGTGGTATCATCGTGAAATGACACCTCTTTACCAAACCGGAAGAGGTTACCGTAGCGCCATACCAGTTCGCCTTCAATATTGAAGGTAGGCATCACGAGCTCCCGAGTGGTCGAATAGTGGTATCATCGTGAAATGACACGCTCACTTCGAATAAACTCAGCTCAACTTTTTACCAAACCGGGAGAGGTTACCTTACCGCCATGTCAGTTCGCCTCCAATATTTTGTGTAGGCAACACGAGCTCCCACCTGGCAGAAAAGAGAAATAAAAAGAACAAGGGATCGACAAGAATCGATTGCAGCAGTTAAACACATATAAACCGATCAACATCGATTCGCGAGAAAGAGTAGAAACACAGGTTCTTTTAGATTTGTTGATCAAATTATGTACTCGGTAAATTCCAGTAAATTACTCAATCAATGAAATGATTGATTATAAAAATTACAATTCATAGTGAAAAATCTAGACTCGTGACTGAAGTCGGGGGCTTTTCGCTGAAATCGGCGCACAGTGGAACGAACTAGTAGAAGAGGTCGGACATGAAATTTTTGGCTAAAATTTCAAAATTTTGTGTTTATTTTGTCACAAATACAATTTTCAGGGGTGTTTCCGAAAGAAAATTTTACGAAAAAACCAGTGGAGCCACTCTTAAACTTTTTCGTTTCATATTTTCCGAAATATAAGCTTTCAACTTTTTCAGATTTTGTCCGACTTCTCCTATCGACTCGCTCTAGTGTGCGGCGACTTTACATTGGATTGCATTTTGCAATTTGAAAGTATAAATTCTGGCCCGGTTTAAAAACGACGTATGTGCCATTAGTTTCCTTATGCACATTGTGTTATTTCAGATGACCCAGAATTTATAGTTCCAAATTGCAAAATGCAGTCCAATTAAGTCTTCTCCGGGCTAAAATGAGGGGCTTGGAGGACAAGACGCATAAGTGCAGTTTTTTTTAAAAAATTGAGATATTGATGATCTCATATAAAACTAGTCTTAATGCGTATTCTATGAAAAATTCACTCCTAAATGCCAATTTTAAAGCATCAAGAAGTCAGTTTGAACTTTCTTTCCGCCATAAGGCTCCATGCGATTTCGAAACTTCAAACTCGTATTTTTCTATATGGATAGCAAAAACTGCGCTTATGTGCTGCCGTGCTAAGGAAAAACGCCGTACGAACATTTGAGAGTTGCCAAATTGCGCCGGAGAAAGCATGTATTTTTGAGAACGGTTATGCGTATTTCCCCTTGAAATTCTCAGATATTTTAGACTACATTGCGAACAATATCGTCTGTAAATTTCGCGGAAAACCATTAACAATTTCCTCAGTGAATTCAATTTTTATCGAAGGAAATATAGAAGGCTCATACGGCGTTTTTCCTATAGGACGGCAGTGCGCCTTGTCCACCAAGCCCCTGTGAAAAGCGGAGACTTGACAACGACCTTGCGGCTATTGTTCTCGTCAGTTGCTGCCACTTGTCGGCTGAGGTTTTTGCGGGCAGGAGGCGAGGGAGAGGAAGTGAGGAGGCCTCAAGGACAGCTCCAGAAAAAATCATCATCATCCGATGATGGACTTGGACCAGGTGACGATCTATCCAATGCCCGGGCCTCGGGTTAGCCGCTGAGCTGCCGCACTCGACTCATTGTCAGGTCAATGATTTTTCTGCCGTGATAGCGAAGAGAGCAGTAAGTGCGTCTCCGTATGAGCCATGGTCAGCACATGCTTTTATGAGTCTCGAGGTTCATCCCAGAATGCACTTACTGCTCTCTTCGCTATCACGGCAGTTTTGCTGGCCTTGCGCGCTCTTCAAAACCCACTGAACGGACAATTACCGGCGAGTCAGAGCAGAGGGGTACGACTATCATTTTCTGCAGCCCAAACAACTCCTCTCGTCTAGTGGTGAGAATTCTATTTGAACCGAGCTCATCAGAAAGGAACCAACCCACGTTTTCGAAAAATTGAGTTAAGGAACACTAGCAGTATATTATCGCCTGCCAAAAACTAAAAGTCGAAAAATGAGAAATGGAGAATTTGCATGCACATTTTTTATTGCTTCATCTGAAAGTGCTGAAAGAGCTGATTTCACAGTATTTTTTTACAATTTTTTTCAGATATGGGAAATAGTATAAAAATATGTTTAAAAGTGAGAAAATGCTCCGCCTAGTGACGTCATCTAACGGCATTTCCCATTTAAACACAGGTGTTTTAGCAGATTAGATCATTTTGTCATATCTTCTCCAATAATTGTACAGTTCACTCAGTAAGTAGTTTCCGCTTGGACACGAAATTCATCAAATTTCAGACACCTGCAAATTCTCTATTAGTTTGTTTAAGAGAGGGGTAAAAGTTCCTTTTCTACATTGAGCCTCTGGCAGAAATATAACTTTAAACCTATTTTTCTCAGTTTCCACTCAATGTGGATTGGTTTCTTTCTGATGAACTCGGTCCATTTGGTCCAGCTCAGTTTCCTCCTTGCAATTTAAGAACAATGACGTTCCACTAGGAACCCCTTAACACACTATAGTCATGGTATTGAGTGGCGGACACCTCAGGGGTGTAGGGGAACCTCCAGGTGAAAAAGTTTCCCGGAAAATTTTCGAAACCATGGTAAAAATTGGCGATAAGAGCTGCGTTTCAAAATACCGTAGGAATTCCTATAGCCGGCTAAAGAAGGCTACAGAAAATCATAGCTGGCTGTAGAATGCGGAGAAAATCATACGGCCAGGCTATACGAAGCGATAAAAAAGTATGCAGCCGAGCTATAGTTCCTATAGCCGGGCTTTACACTATATTGCCTGGCTGTTGCTTTTTCGCCATCGATTATGAAAGGCTATAAGAAATTGTGTAGAAATTCGTGGGCTTTGGAAATCATTAAGTTTGATACGGAACCACCTTAATATTTATAAAACACACGTTATATTTTCCTTTAATACATATTTTTTTTTTCATCAATTAAAACGAGAACAATCCATACTTACAGGATGTGCAAACATTTCAGAATCATGAGTTGAATAACGCTGACTTCGCCACATTAAATATTAGAGCCTAACACAAAGCGGAGCGGCGACGCACTGGCGCCTACAAACCTAACAGGGATACTTCACGCATTGCGCAACGCGTGAAGTATCCCTGTTAGGTTTGTAGGCGCCAATGCGCGTTTCGCGCTGGCTGCCCGCCTGCCGCACCGCAGCGTGCCATGGCGCTTGAAGCGCTCATGCGAAACTGAAGGCGCTCCAATATATTAGGAATGGCAGGCATCCATCATAAGTACGGAGCTTTCCTCACAAAATAAATCAAGATACTACGGCCCAAAAAGAGAGCATGTGGTCCAAAAACTCACTAAGTCCTAGCATCCGTAATTAGTGACGTTTAGCATACACTTTATCGCCTGGCTGTGAGTTCCTTAATCGCCATCGGCTATAAAAGGCTATAAGAAATTGTGTAGCCGGCTATAGAAGCTATTGGAAATCTTACAGCCGGCCGTAGGTCTATGGTATTTTGGAACACAGATTCTACTGCCAATTTTTACCAGGGAAACGAAGGTACCGAAGATGCAATTTCGAGCTCACTCAATGTTTTTCCATTTTATAATTAATTATTCTAAAGCTTATCAAATGCGGCCATGAAAATGTAAGAAAGTAGAATTAATCAGTAGACAACGGGAGAACTTGTGCAATTTTTTTTACTTTTTCGTCTTCTTGAATTTTTCGTTTATTTTTAGCACTTAAAGAAGGGCCGAAGAGTGAGTACTGAATGAACTGAAATGCCAAAATTATTCGCAGTTTGCCGTGAGTCGCTACCTGCGTCCCTTTTTAGCTGCAGGGTGTCCCTCAAATCTACCCTCACGGGGCGCCTAAACCGGTCTCTCACAAGTATATTGAAAAACGCAATAGTGTATTTCCTTCGGAAAATACACTGAAAAATGCATGCATTCGGTACTATGATTTCGCCGTGAAAAGCTTGCCATGCTCTCCCTTCCTCCCCCATCAGACCGCCAGTTAATCGCCAGTTCTTCATGAAAAACATAAAAGATTACTTTATTTTTAAATTCTTTCGACACAACCTTATGACAGGCGGACGCGGTCACCTGAAGAAGGTACAAAAAAAAATAAAAAAAAAAATCTAAAGCTGAACTGCCTGGCTAAAGATAAACGTATCATAATATGCACCTTGATACGTTATCGTACATCCTTTGATCAAATACGAATTTTCAAGAAAACTTGTGATTTTTCTCCCAATTTTTTAGAGAATTTTGTGTTGATGATTTTCCTCGAAATTAATTTGGCAACATTCTCAGGTTCTCATGGTGTTTTTTCTTTTAGCATCGTGTGAACTAGTGAAGCCGGGAGTGGCCGGGAGACACGATTTCATAAAGCCCGCTCTTTCATGGAGACAACATAAACCAAACCCGAGGTGCATCAACCACCACAGATTGGACACGCAACAAGCGTTGCCAAATTATCTTGAATTCTTGAAATGCGTCGTAGAAAACACAATATTTACAGCATGCTTCGGCAACGTCACTTTAGTTAAAAAATAATGGGAATGAATGACACTTTTTGGGCGCAGCGAATGTGAAATGAGTCTCAGTGTTTTTGTCGCGTTTTAAGGAGTGTTTCTGTGTTTATCAATTATCGCGAGTATGCTATAAGACCGCGAGCCAGAAGTAGGAACTAGGAATGCGTGAAACATCCAAAGAAACCTTTCATATTTCTCTGGCATCGATTCACGGTAATTTATAATTCAACTCTCCCAGCACTTTGTCTTTGTACTGCACTGGAATCATTGTTTACGTCTTGCTTTGATTTCGCTATTTTTAGTGATTGTGCCTCAATTATTTACTCTCCTCAAGTGCTTTATGACGATAGATAAGCGTTGTTTGCTCTCATGATGGGCTTATCTCTTCAATCCGGTCGGTCCTATGGTAGGAATGCTCTGGCCTCTGTATTGGGAGACGATGTGTCGCTTTTTTGTTCTTAGTCAGAATTGAATTATCTTAATCCAGTTTTCACTACTGTCCAATGTAAGTGTCTGTTATTTTCGTCTTCAACTGCTAGATGCTCGTCGAAATTGGAACCAAATTCTTTTCCTGTCAACTGTGGCTTCGCGCTGCTTTTACAGAGTTGTAGGTTATGTTAGACTGTGGTAGCTGTAAACACACGGAAGGCTTCTAGTTTTGTGAACTTATGGTGGGGAATTTACGACCATTATAAGTCACACTCTCTTTTCAGTTTGATTGACTTCTCCAATTGCGATTATCATCTAAGTGCCTACTGCTGCTATCGTAGTTACATGGGTCAGAGACCATTATGATTGGTTCCTTTTGCAAGACGCTGTGGGTTTCTTTCAGGGAGTCATTTAATCGGCTAGCATGAAATGCAACATTGATCTGTATTTCATATAGTTATTGTAGTGCAATCAAATGCAGATATATCGGGTCACTAGGGCCTGAAATCATATCCTATAAACACAAATGCCTACTATCAGTTGCTAAAATATGGGTCTGGAACACTTCATTATTAAGTATCATGAAACAAAAAATTGCCCTTCAATTGTTACTCTTTTAAAATAAGTTTTTAACTCATATTTGCTCTTATTTTAGTTAAGGTATTTTAGTATAATCTTTGTTTTCCAGGTGAAAGAGTGGAATAATATTTGAATGCACATGAAAGTTTTTCAACGTCGCAAAATTCCTGTTTGTCAATTGTATTTTCATCTCGAAACTGGTGTGCATTTCTAACATGAACTGTTCTTCCAAATCAGCATCAATTCTGATTGTTTTATCCAAATCACAACGGAAGCACTTCTTGACTTTCCTATATTATAATTTGAAAGTTATTTGCATTTTACTTGATTAAATTGTGCATGGCTAATTTTTTGTAAATATTGCAGGTGAACCATCGCCTGGAATCCTAGGGAGACCATGAAGTGGAAAAATGCCTTTTATTCGTGCTACTTGGGATCTCTTATCATCATAGCACATTTTTTCTCCCTTTTCTCTTCAACACACGGTAAGAGTCCTTTCTTTCAATAAAAATTCACTTTGAACAGAGATTTTAGTACTTAATGTTGTCCTTGTCTAAATTTTTTTCTTCCCTGCATATTGAATAGAATGAACTTGATAGTAAAAAATTGAAAGAAGCTCTCCTAATTGCTGAATAAGTATGTAGGAACAGTCCTTTAATCATCAGATCAAGGCTTTGCTTCCTCGATGATCAGTTACATGTACATTTTCAAGCCTCTTTGAACAGTGCAAATTTTCAATCTTGCTGTCTTCTTAAGTTTTTTTTTGGATTGTTAATACATTAGTAGGGCATCTGCGAGCAAAAAGGTATGGATGCACCACAAAAGCATGGATTCTGAATGTTTCACATGAAAAAATAGAAAACTTCTGGTGTTTTTGACAAAGGAAAAAAAAAATAAAATGGCAATTCAAAATTTCTGAGTTGGAATGAAATAGGAGCTCTGAGATATGCAGTCTTCATACATACTTTATCATATATAATGCTCCCCTGAAATCTCATGCTCAATCCCAATGCTCTACATCTCAGTTCACACCACTCGAGCTCCCAAATTGCAATATTCTGTCCTTGTCAGAGTTTACGGTGCGTGCCAGGTAAGGAATAAGTGAGGGAAAGGCCTCAGAAAAGAGGTAGTATTTGGAAAGATGGAAAAAGTAAAAGAGAGGTTATGAAAAATCAAAGGTATTAAATGAGGGTGTACCAGTAGGTAAGTTATCCGTGTAAGTTCTTGCGGCTTGAAAATGTTTTGCGAACCATGAGTGTAGCAGAACTGAGCAAAATTCTGATATTATCCTCCAACTTTGTTGGGAAATTAAATTTGTATTTGCTATAAAATCAAAATTATTACTAACTTGTAATAATACGTTACTGGACATGACTAAATGTAAATCATGCAAAGTAGGAAGAGCTGTTCAAAGCTCCTTCAGGTAGAGGTATTAGTTTTCTCTTTGGTTTACGGTAGTAATAAATTAAAAGTTCAAACCCCAAAAAGAAAGGTTTTCTCATCATACTCCTATGTTTCTGAGAAGTTAATTAAAACCACCGCTTAGGAATTCCAACCACACATTTAGAAGATTAATAAGTGAATCTTTTAGATTAGTGTTAATTTATGTTTTGATGTTTCTCTCACTGTAAGTTTCTCATTGATTGGTCTTTTTTCTAATATATCAGCTTGCAAGTTCCCAAAAGAGTGGCATGGAGAATGGTTCGACTCAGACCAAAAGACATCTATCACCATCAATGAAAACTCCTTTGGAGCAAAAGGATCATGCTACAATTCAGATCGGTCTCCTTACTACCTTATGGAGCAGAAGTAAGTGTAATTGTTTCTTTTTAAATTGAGTCAATTATCGCAGAAACATTTGATTTTCAAAATGTGCATTTTCTAAGGTATTCAAAACAGTGGCGTGGCTTGATTTGCAATATATCGATTGATCGGCCATTTAAACCTATGAAAAAGGATTGATAAACAGGGTGTTCGCAGTGAACACCTTGATAATCAATTATTTACCATAGCTTCAAATGACATAGCAATCGATACATCACAATCTGATGTAGATTGTGATGGCGTTGTGATTGTGATGTAGTTGGCGTCTGCCACGCCACTGATTCAAAACAAAAATTTTGAAAGACTCAAAGTTGTTTGCAGAAAAAATGTCAAAAAAGGAATGACAAAGGCAACAGATTGAAGATAATCATGAATTCTTAGTCGTTGTTCTTTTGCCAATAGTAAATAGAAGAATAGCAAAATCCACAGCAGCAAGGATGCTAATTGAATCAGTGAGTTCGAAAACACACCAACTCGGGTTTTTTTCGATTTTTCCTTTTTTCACGGTTTAGTAACAGCGACAGGAAAAGGAAAGAGTTGAAGTATTTCATTGGAAATATAAATTTTTTGCCATTTCAAGGGAAACGGGTGACCATCCGATTTTGCGGTTTTCTTTTTTCGGTTCAGTATACCTTGTACCAACAAGTTATATAAATATTCAAGCGTTATTCAGGTCGATTAATGTAAATTTTTCAGGGCAGACTATGAAAAATCGGTATCTGAAAGACGGTGAGAACGAAAATACACCAACTCGGAAATTTTTAAATGCTTAATTCTCTGTCATCAAACATGGTGTATCGATTTCAACTTGGTTCTTTACGAAGTCTCTAAGTAATTGTCCTTTGGTCCCAAAAAGGTTTTTCTTTAACTAACTTCTTTGCCCGCTGCACAGTTTTAGGTGTTTCCGGAACAATTTTTTCTCCAAGTTAGTGTGTTTTCGAACTCACTGATTCAATTATTGTTGCATGAGTAATGGAAATTTAAATTTTATGAAGCTTTCAACGCCATTTAAATACTATAATACCATCACCGATGAAAATTTTAAAGTCTGTTGGAAAGTTAAGTCTTCATTGAGGAGAATCTTCCATTATGTCACATCGTACATTTTTTTTTTAGGAGCTCCGGACAAACTTTTTATCAATGCCTCCTGATCCTGCTGAACCAGGAAAATGTCATTCAATTCAGAGAGACATGGGCGGAACAATTTGATACACCACCAACATCCAGCATATGCAGTGAACTTGATGTCAACAATCCCCTTCACTACTTATTCCGGGTGGATGCCAAACCAACTGCGTGCCCTTTCATAAATCCACCATTTTCATTCTATTATACAAAAGGAGAGTCAAGGGCTTGTGATAATCCCCCATCAAAGATAAGCGCATGTGCAGATAACTCAAAGTTACTTTTGCACTATTCCGCGTGCACTGATATTCAAGGGTCTGAAAGCTATCTGGAAGAACTGACGTGTCTTGGTACATGGAGGATTGGCTCTTCAGCCTACCTGGTGGCGAAAGTTCATGATCGAAATGAACCAAATTTTTATGACAGCGGGAAGTATAAGTGCTATCTCTATGAGAATATCACAGATCCTAAAGATAATAAAGTAGTCGGTTACAAAATTGCGCAGTCTGAAGCGTCGTGTAGTGGATTGTCCTCCATTAATGATGGTGCAACTATGATGACTTTGCGTCGTGAAGTCCAAAGGCATGTGAATTGCAAGTTTCCATCATGGATTGTTGAGCAAAAAAAATGGAGGGCCTTAAATGCACCTATTGAATATACATTTTCCTCAAGCAATGCCACGAAAGTGTCATCAGGCAGGGAGTCCACCGTAGTTTGTCACTCCATAGAGGCTTCTGAAAATTTGAAACATAGTTTCATAGTTGTCAAAGTAATGACTGGCTGTGATGTAAGTTATAAATGTATGCTTTTTCAAAGGCGAGACCCACATATCATGGAGATTCAGGAAGCATCGCAAGGGGAAGACAATTATATCGACACTTGCCATGATTCAAAGTTTGATCCAAGTACTCTACCCCTTGTCACATACGTGACTGAAAATCTTCCACCACGAAAGTGTCCTCTATTGCCCAAACTGGTCAGTGTTCCAGAAGTTAAGACTTGCAAAGAGGAGGTCTATCATCAAGTTTCAATTGGGTGTGGTCCCAAGCCAGAAAAAGTAGAATTCAAACAGCCAGATCAGTGTCAAAATCACACCGCTGTCGGTACGTATTTAGGTAAATTTCAGCTTGATTTCTCTTCTTCTATACTACTTCTTAGATAAGTTCTTATTTTCTTAAAGGTGAACTGGACTATCTCTTTCCTAATATCAAAATTAACTGAGGAAATAGCTGCAAATACAGTTTATAATAATGAGATGTTTGGGATGGGATATTCATAGGAAAAAAAATTTGAGATTTTGATGAGCGTGTGTCAGAAAAGTATTTCAAAGTAAAAATAGTTGGAATTATGCGTTAAGCAATGCTGCCATGGTAAGATTAAGGAATGCTGCAGCTCTGGGCCAGGTTGCCTGTGTTGCGAATGTGTAATTCGCTTCTTTTTCTTCCATTGCTGCCTGCATGAAGTACTTCAAGTTGATGATGTAAGCAACTCTGCATTTTTCTCAAACAAAATGTGAAAAAATTGGATGACATTAAAATACTTGTCTAATAGAGGTAGATTCCCATCTGAAACGAAAGACGAAATAGGTACCGAATTATCCTGAAAACAATTACATTGTTTTTGTAGGGAAATTGACCGTGGAGAAAATTCAACTTTTCCTAATTTCTGACCTATTGAGATTTCTTTTCAATTATGTCTCCTTCATTGTTTCTAAGGTTTGTCTTAATTGTTCTCTACAGAGTTTATGTGTCATGGACACTGGGAAGCAAAGCGGATAAACTCGTCAGAGGTTGTTGGTTACATCCTTGGCACACCCTTACGAACAGACAAAGATAAATACATTTGTTTCTCGTACACAAAGAAAAATGAAGTGTATAGTCTTCGAGCAACGACTCCAACGTGTTATGAGTCCAGAGCCTTGTTCACATTCCAGCTCAAAAGCAATGGTAATTTATTTTGTTCTTGATAAACTTTAAGTATTCTTTGACCAAAAAAAGAGGAATAAATTAATAGAAACAAACTTCCTAAACCTTGCGAAAAGTCCACACCAGTAAAATTGAAGAACTCCTCCGATAGCCTGAAGTAAATTATGTGAAGAAAAGAAACAGAATAAAATGTCGTATTGGAGAAACAGGCAGAATTTAAAAATCATTTTCCAAAAAAAACGTTAATAGAATCGTATAATTTTAATGGAATCAAAACGTTATGTTTAAAAAAGCCGTTGAAACAAAACAAACAAAATCAAAATGTCAGATACTATCATCGATAATGCTTAAATTAAGAAAAAAATCAACCCATTGAAAAATATCCCACAAGCTCATAGTCTATGAAACATCTTTTATAAATTTCTTCTTTTTTTTCCAGCTAAAACTCTTGTAACAAGTCTCAGAAGATCGAGATATTTTTCTTTTTTTTTATATATATTTATAAGATTTTGACAATATTAAATATTCAATTTTGTGTCCAGCTCATTTATCCTTTTCTAATAATAGATATATCTATTTTCAGGCCACTGCCAGGCTGTCGAGACTCGTTCAGGAAATGATATCGATGGCGACGGTGAATCTTGGGAAAGTGCCAACAAAAGCGCAACTCTGGTGATCTCTGCACTCCATTTTGTCATCGCTTACCTACTCAGTATTCATATCAGATGATCAGTGTTCTCTTTTATAAATTAGTCGCTAATCTTCAATATTTTGTTGACTTAAAAGCTCTCCGGTGAAGTTTTGAAACAGGGTATTTATACGTTTCAGAGTTGAATTCACTGACATTTTTGTCAGGTTCCTCTCAATGTTAACTGGTTCTCTCATATTTTTTCCGGTGATTTGTCATCTACCCGTGATTTTGGTTATTAGAAATTTTTATATTTGTTTCGTTTGTTCTCTGTCGATCTGTAGAGCAGTCAAACGTAGCTGTCAAATGATCAAGGCTTTTGGAAAGACCCATCAATGTTCATAAAATTTTTTAATTTGAATACTTTTTTTCAGGTTTCTTCGAATTCGGCTGGTAACCTAAGGTTAACCCAGGTTTCATTTATCAGAAAACCTAGGTCTTTCGTTGTTAAAGCTAATGAAACTTAGTTCTGATTGAATTTATTTTACGGTCCAATCTGCATTTAACTATTTTTTTCACGAGTTCTATGCCTTGAAAATTTCGTCTTTTTCCATCTTAATCAGTTTGGAAGCAGCGAATAATAATTTGTTGCTGTGACATTTGTCTGCTTTGTGTTGAATGACCGTTGTATTCTCACTCTCAAGCATTTTCCAAAAAATAAGAAGTAACCAAAGTGACCAAGCAGTGACTATCCTTAATCTAAGGTAGAATTTTGAATTTGAAAAACTTACCTTACTCATGAACGAGACTGATTGTTTTTTCCTCAGCTGTAGTTTCAATTCACCTAGTTAAATTTTCTATCCTTCCTAAGGCATTTTTGCCTTTTATTAAGAGAAAATATGTTTTCTACAACATGGTCTTCATCATTTTGAACCTGGTTTTATTTTTTATTTTTTTGGCTAAATGTTGTGAACCAAAATTTTAGAAAAGTTCTAATTTCAATTCATTTTTCTGATTTCATTTTTATCTGAAACTAAACGAAACAGATATCAAAGGTGCATATAGCACGTATTTTCTTGGCGTAGACTGTCTCATTTGTTTTCTTTGTTCAAAAATCCTGAAAACTTCATTGAATTTAATTTAGCTGAAAGGAAGTTGTCAGCAATTAAAAGCTTGATTTGGGACATGATGAAGGTTTTTATCGGAATTCCATTTGGAAGTATTGTCAATTTAGTTCCAGTCAAACTTATCTCTCCGTCCTTAAATCCTTTCTCAAGGAGTTCGCAGTTGTTCCTTTGGCATGCCATCAAGTGAATGGTCGCAGCAAAATTAGTTCCTTTCGAAATTGCATTTAGCTTCGGAAACAGACTATTCTAAATTGCGTTTTGTTTTACTTTTTGTTTTCAAATTTGTAAATTGTGTACTATTTCTAGGATAAGATTTTGCACCTTTTTATACGTGAGGCCCAAGTTTCGAAGAATTGCAATTAGACGCAGCTAAACACTATCATTGAAACGTTCATATGCTTTTATTATTTTAGATTTGAGAATGCTTTTGGATACTTACCGCAAATTATTCTTGTGTTCTTAGGTAATTAGTACCTATTTGGTTTGAATGATCGCCTCTTATTTTACATTCTCGTTTTATTGAAAGGAATGTACTATATTTCTCGAAAGTAGAAAATTTTTTAGATTTTTGGAAAAGCAAATCTATCATTTTGATTGAAAATTTCTTAGTTTTCCATCTGCGTTTGCATTTTTTAGTTTCTATCTTTGTTCATCTGTTATTCTTTACAGAGATATTGAATAGTGTACTTTTTCCAAAAATTGGAGATTCGTCAGGAATCTTCTTGCAATTCAATCGTGATAACCAAGTTATCCGCTGTTCAGTTATCGTAGTGTATCTAAAGAAATACTGCATGAAGTAGTCTTGCTGCACAGTCATTGATAGAGTTTGTGAAACAATTATTTTTTACTTTTGTATTTCATTTTTATCAGTCTTGGTCATAAAACTGTATCTATATGCATAGCGTGTTGTTGAGATGAATCATTTTGAGCTGATAAAATTTCATGGAAATTAAATAACAGCCACGCTGATTAAGAATGGATGGTTGACCATTACAATCTCGAATATGTTTTTAAGTTTAAGTACCTGAAAATGGCCAAAAATCATATTACTAGTAAAAACATCCCTTTTGCATTCTCAAAAAATTTACGAACTTTTTAAAAAGAACCAAACCAAAATTCAGTCATTGATTATTTACTTCCTTTATGTACTTGAATACTTTCTTGTGGGTTTCTCTATGTAATATTTGGCTGTCTAATGTCTTCATTTCCTTTCGCAACAATTTTTTCCTCCTCATTTGCCTCAGGACTACCTGAAAATTTCAAAATTTTGTTTACGACCTGCAAATATTATTTTTATAGTTAGTGTCTCATTTCACCCCAAAATTTTGAGGTCAATTTAGCCATGAGTACTAATTCTCAATTCTCAGGTTCCATCTGCAATTTTAGAGCAATACATTGTTTTATCTGAAATATTCTGTAAGAAGGAAGCAATCATAAAAAAAACACTAAAAATCAGAATCATTATAAAAATCAGACCTCTATGAATATTTTAGATCAGCGCCTTTTATTTTCAAGCGCACTTTAAGCATGTCCCCCCAAGAGAAATTAGAAAACTGATCCGTCATCAATCAAAACTGTCAGAAAACGGAATTTTTAAAACATTTTTAACGGCTCAAAATGATATTTCTTATCGCTTGATTACTTGCCGTAAGCAAGTTGTGTAAAATACTATCGGGATACTGTTGTATATAGATGGATGGGACCATTTTTTGTGATATTCGTTTTAAATTGAAAAATTATTTATACTTCTTTTTATGTCTGTGTTTACTTTTTCACTTTTGTAAATAGATACTCTCTGTAAACAATGTCTAGAGCTGCTTACTCGTTTTGGTTTTCGCGAATCTTGCCTTGAAGTCATTACTAAGCTTGATTGAATGCTGTACACTCCTCGTGTTTTCACACTCACAGTAATAGCCAGCGTTAGATTGGTTCACCAACTTTTAGAACAATACATAGGTTTTTTAAATAGCTTAATGATTCTAGTTTAAGTACAGATTTTAAAATGTCAGTTTTCCCACTTAGCAAGTCTGAAAATGAGGGAAACAATTTGACGCTGGCATTAACTTAATTTTAATTTTTAAGTCGTAATCAAACTACCCAGTGAGCCATAATTCTTTCTTTCGTCCATCAATCCAACTTGTACGCTTCAAATTTAAAGACCAGAAAAACTGTGTTTTACGGTGAACAGAACTATGAAGCATAATTCATTTGCACATAGTCCGTTCAGAGTAAATACATCCAAGAGAACTTGTCTGTAGCCGGATTTTTTAATTTTCAACCAATTATTTTTAAAATACAAAAAAAGGAAACTGAGCAGCCACGATTAAATCAATAATGCTAATAATCGAGAGTAGACTCTTTTGTGCTGGCCTTGATTAATTTAAAAGTGAATAAGTTTTGTCTTGAAGCTTGAAGCTTTATTATTCAGCTTTGTCTCTGCAGGACGCTTTCTCGCAATTTGTTGATTATTTTAAAATATTATTGTTGATTAATTTAAAATTGAATAAGTTTTGTCTTGAAGCTTGAAGCTTTATTATTCAGCTTTGCCTCTGCAGGACGCTTTCTCGCAATTTGTTGCTACAAAAATGTGCGTTAACATCGAAAAAAATGATAAAATCAATCTTTCCATCATGCTCAAGTCTGTTTGCCCATGCAGTTGTTATATTTTAACAAATTACTTGTCCTGCCAGCGACATTTTTTCATGAGTCACAGGTTTTGGTAAATGCTTGAAGTAGCTTGTAATGAATTCTGTGAGGTCATTCAGGCTTCAACCCCAAAATTTTATGAGTTTCCTTGTTTTCCCCTCGCTTATTTGGGCCACTTCCTAGTGTTTTTTTTCTCTCCTCTGTCATACTGCACTGTCCTTATACTGTATCGAAAAGCCATTTTAATCTGTACAATTCTCATTGATTCAAATCGCTGCGAGCAACTTTTCCTTGTCAAACTGTAGATCTGGGTTACAGATAAACAGCAGCCAAAAATCAAGTTAGTTTTGCTTGAGTTTTGTTTATTCCATGTTAAACAGCAAGTTTGGAATTCTAGTTTTTTTAAATTTTATTTTTGTATCAATGTGAATACGCTTTACATTCTTGTACAGATTTTTTTGTAAATAAAATAAAATTCAAACAAAAATCGAATTGGTGTCGTCTTTTTTCTTTGTATACCCCCAACCAACCCCTGCCAACTCAAAATAGATATGTTCCAGCTGTAATGCGGACTAAAGACCAATTCACACTATCAAACTTTTCATTAGACATGATTGAACGAAAAGTTGGACGCAAAAGAATTTGATTCAATTACTGTTGCAGTGTGATATCATCATCAGCTTGCGTTTCTCGAAGATAACTTTTGAAGATTTCGTTCAACTTTTCATCAGTATGTTGTAAAGTCGAATTTGACGTCATATTCAATTTTTCATCAAATTTTCGTTTTCTCTCATCAGTATCACACTATTCAACTTTTCATCAGACAAGTTGCATCCAAGAGTTGCATGAAATTGTTTGATACTGCGAATTGGGCTTTCGCTGTACTCTATTTGTGAAAAATGAGGCTTTCTTTTGAGAAAAATTAAAATAACTTGCTTTTCGCTTCAGACAGTAACATTTTGGTCGTAACCTTCCTTTAAGTATTTAAACCATAGACTTACCCCTGCAAACCGTTTTTTGGGTACATCTTTGTCGTATTTTTTTTTGCTTTGAGACCACAGAGCCCAACAGGCATCAGGAATGATTTTAACTCTTATTTAAAAATTCAAAAATTTATTCAGTTAAAAATTTTGACAAAATAGAGAGTTTATAACATTGTTAGTAACACTTATGTACGGATTGAAATCCCTCTAAGTAATGAGGTGTCTGCTAACAGATCAGATAACACATTGCATAGTAAAAATAATAAAAACTTTAATGAGAAGGTCATTTAGCTAACAATTAAAGGTAGGAACTATAAGACAATAGTGACTATAATGCTGGGAGAAGCACCGATCATAATTCTTACTGGATATTATATTGATACATACAGATCTTACTTTTTAGGGTATTGAATAATAATCTCAACACATGGCATGAAACAGGTGCAGAATTCTGCTACTTTCATCTCTGTTGAAATGTATACATACTTATGAAATGGGTATTATTCAAACCCCTCCAGCATTGACACATAGGACAACAAAAAATACTTGTGTTTGCACTCATAGCAAGAGATATTGCGAAACAAGTTAGCTTGTATCATAATTTTTCGCAATAAAGTATGCAGGATGAATTAGCAGCAAAATTTCAATAAAGTACGGCTTCTTACTTCTATTCACATTAATTACAAAAATATACGAGTAAAATTATGTAAATAGATCTACTACCAAGTCCTTAAAAATATCCTAATATCTATCTTTGGAGTTGGATTTAATTTCAATTGCTAAAAAAGCTGGATTGAACCAAAATGAATGCACATATCGATGGATAACATTGAAAAATGCAAAAGTCAGATTGTAACGTTGTTTTTTGTTGAACTCGTGTTTTATTTTTTTTATTTTTTTTTTATTAAAGATTGAAGAATGAATTAGCAGTTTCTATTAAAATTTTCTGTGAACCTACCTCTCTCATTCTAAAAAACCCCCACAAAATTACAAAGAAGCGCTCGGATCAGTTTTGCTGGTGGGGAATTAGATATGATAAAAGATTTTTCAATGTTGTAAGTGAGGTACGCATTTCCTACATTTAACCATCAATATGCTAATACCTACAAAACATTTTAAAAGTGAAACAAGAGAAAACCCAAATAGCAAATTTTGTTTCTTTTTCTAAATTGATACAAATGCTTTGTCTGCCTAGCCAATGACATCTTGCTAATAAAAATCAACATTTTTTTTTTAGTTTTTCTTTCTTGCTGACAGTTTTCCAGTTTGACAGACTAAAAACTGAATAAAATCTGCAATTGCTTCATTACAGTCGAAAGCAAGATACCCTGGGCCACGATTGGAAAATCATCAATTATGCACATAGGCCGATGATTCAAAGGTGCCAATCATTTATTACATAATACTTTTTCAATTTTTTACTGCCCTTCTCCACTCCCATTCCTCTTGTAATGCACTTTGAACACCTTGCAGTACCTCTTAAAAATTACGTAAAGGCAAATAGAGCATCCCTTCATTTTCACCAGTTGATAGAGGAAATTTAGCCCTAAAATCTCTTCTCTGCTAAAACATGTGTATGCACAGAATGTTTTTGGTTTGAATTGCTTATAACAATTATTTTACAATCCCCTCTTCGCTAAATGCAATAAATAATTTACGCACGGCCAGAAAAATTTTAATAAATCAGAAACATAAAACTAAAATCATTCTTGCTTGCTGGCCTAAAATTTTGGAACTTTAGCAACCAATACAATCAACATAATTTTAGTGAATCACAAATGAGAAATCAAAAAGCAATCGCTTGACCAGAGCCCCGTGAATCTGAGTAAGCAACTGTTGTATCGCTCACTTTCTGGATGACATTGACTGTAGAGTAAGGTAACGGAGCGCGACTGAGATCATATGAAGCTCGCTGCAGAGTACTGCGCTCTTTAGCTGGCATGATAGGAGCATGTTCTTCTTCTTCAAGAATGGCATGACCAACAAAACGCACCCTTGTTGCTTCAATACTTGATTTAACGCTTTTCTCCTGTTCACCGCCGTTTAACAATGACAGTAAGGCTTGAGCTCCATCACGCACATCACTTGAGCCTGCATCCATTAAACAAGTAAGCTTTAGAGAAGTTTTACAGAAAAAATTGCAAAGTAATCAGTTGATTATGATCTAGTTGCTAGAATTTAAAATCAAAAGTAAGAAAGAATCATAACATTCATTATTCTCTTGAATTTTAAAAAGGAAGAGAGTTATTGTCCTTGAGGGAACAGGATTTAAAATACATGCATAAAATATTTGTCAAAAAGCTAAGTTCCTATGTTCCATGTAGGCTAATTTAATGGCTACATCATACGGTTTCTATCATCTTAGTATTTCTTGCAATCAAAAATGTCTATTAAATGAGTCCATAATTGATTAAAGATTAGTTAATGAAAAATTGTATTGAATTGACACATACAACTTCAAACAGGGAATGGGCATGAAGTTTTATTTTATTAATTGGAACTATTGCAAATCAAGGTGTTGGATATTCCATCGATTGCAAATTGATAAGTGGAATGATGGAGAATGATGCAGCCTTTAAATCAGTCTATTCCTTAATTGAGATACGACCTTTTGACAAATTTATGGGACATCATATTCATCAATTGTGCTTTCCTCAGGATCTAGGGAATTCACAGAAAGTGAATTTGGACCTTTTTTATACAAACATCAAACTCAACATCAACTCACCTAAGATCAATCGCCTTGCACAGATATGACTCGACTTTACAGCAATGATAGGAGCCGAGAGAGTAGGGATCTTGTCGCCTTGCTTAGTGGTGTTATTTGCGCCTTCGCCGATGACTTCAAGAGCATTGTTCAAAATGTATTCAGATGCAGTGAACAACTGCGAACCCAAAACTGAGCCAAGACCACTGTAAGAAAAGTAAATGAACAAAGATGAGAATGAAACAGCCAAGAAAATCGGCCTTAAATTTTAATTTTGAAAGGTAAGTACTCTTTCAACCAAAATAGTTATCCATTAATCCCTCGCTTATTTTTTCCATATTGTATTAGTAGAGAAGAGCTGATGAGTGGAAAAAAGTAAGCATAAATGATTAAATGAAAACATACCTCACGATAGAAACATACACATCATTTACATCCGCAACCGCCACATGAGAACCAGCAGGTATGGGCCATATAGCTTCTGCATCACCTGAGCATAAAAACAGCGACTTTCATTTCATGAACTTTATAGCATGCCAACTTAATGAAAAAAGGGTACGAAAGCAAAAACGTGTTTTTCATTTTCCAAGTAGAATGTTTTGACATTTTCATCTTTAAGGATATTGAAACCTTGAAAACTTCATCGAACCGGACAGTTTTAAAGCATTGAGCTTCACGTATAGAACGAATCAACCCCAAAATCACTCTTGAGTCGGCAAATTTGATGCTACTTCGATGCAATTCAAATGTAAAGGAGAAAAGAGAACAGTAAACTTACTGTGAAATGCACTGACAAAGGAGATGATACTAGATGAACTTATATTGAGATGAGGCAGTGCATTATAAAGGGTTGCGCCTCCAGTTCCACTGCCGGACGTTATGATGTTATATCCCATCAGAGTTCCTTTCAATGGTGTGCCACGAGTTGGCTGATAGTTAGCGATATCAGCTGGATTAAGATAATCTGTATCTATTTGTAGTGTCCGATTGTAGAATACTGAAACATGTGGGATTGTCCATTAACATAGGATTGAACCGTATATTGCATGGAACAAAAAAAGTTACAAATAGAACTATGAAATCAATTGAAATTGCAATTTATCTCTATTTGTGATCGTCAACAGGAACAATAATCTTAGACTACAGAGGCAAAATTTTCATCATAGAAGTGCGATTTTCATCTGGCAAGGTCAAAAATCGGAGACTTTGATTGATGACACTTTTTTGCGTCCAAAAAAAAAAAAAACATGAACTGGACAGTTCAGAACGTAATCAGCCGAGGAGGCTCTAAAAATACTATTATTGATAAAAATGAGTCTTACTGTGACATTCCTTCTTCCTACTAGGAATTATTTTTCCTACTAGTTGAAATGATCATTTTATAGTGGAAGATTGCCTCCTGCATTTTGCTTGTAAGACAGCAACAATCAGAAAAAAAAAGTGCGGAGATTTTAACAAAGTTTCAAAAACCTTAAAAAAAATAGTGTTCCTAACATCTTCATAATTAATTTTCTGTCTTGATTAAAAAATATTAAAACTTTAAAAGAGGAGGGAAATTTTTGTTTAAAGTGCGCTAATAATTTTTCAGTTTCAGGAATGCAAGAAAATAAGAAATATTTTTCTGAACAAATGAGAAGAAATGAAAGTAAAACGCAGAGGGAAAAATTAGGACTGGGTTGATATAATAAAATGCATAAAAGGTCTCGAAAGTGTAAATTTTGGATATTACTTACAAGGGGAGCTTTCCAAGTGTAACCGGAATTTCGAGTTGAAATTTCGCATGAAGATACTAGAGATGATTTTAGGGATGCCGTATTTTTTCGTTTTTTCGAATGGGGTCGGGAAAGCCCTCAAAAAAAGGGCTAAAAATGCGGAAAAAACGCGTGCGCTAGCGGCACAAGGTAAACGTAGGTGATAGAGGCTCTCCATCCTTATCAGTTCCGTATGGCCAAACGGTAGCGAGCTCGCCTCGCAGGCGGGAGGTCGTAGGTTCGGATCCTGACTACAGCCCGTAATTTTATTTTACTTTATGCTTGTTTATTTTTCACTTACTTTATTTTGCACCATTCTCTCCGCAAACCACCTTACGAGGTAGAACACGTAGTGACTGAAGATTTTTACATACCTATGCTGATAAAAACTTGAAGTTTCTCTTGGATTGAAACGTTATATATAATTGAATAAACAAAACACTCTAAAACTCACCAAATTTCGTTGCCAAGCTGAATTTTCGAAGTATCAGTCGAATCTGTATCTGTATCTGACTGATACTCCGGAAATTCAGCTTGGCAACGAAATTTGGTGAGTTTTAGAGTGTTTTGTTTATTCAATTATATATAACGTTTCAATCCGAGGAAACTTCGAGTTTTTATCAGCATTTGTAAAAAAATCTTCAGTCACTACGTGTTCTACCTCATAAGCCGGTTTGCGGAGAGAATGGTGCAAAATAAAGTAAGTGAAAAATAAACAAGCATAAAGTAAAATAAAATTACGGGCTGCAGTCAGAATCCGAACCTATGACCTCCCGCCTGCGAGGCGAGCACGCTACCGTTTGGCCATGCGGAACTGATACGGATAGAGAGCCTCTATCACCTATGTTTACCTTGTGCCGCTAGCGCACGCGTTTTTTCCGCATCTTTAGCCCTTTTTTTGAGGGCTTTCCCGACCCCATTCGAAAAAACGAAAAAATACGGCATCCCTAAAATCATCTCTAGTATCTTCATGCGAAATTTCAACTCGAAATTCCGGTTACACTTGGAAAGCTCCCCTTGTTAGTTTACTAAAAACTCTCCAATTATTTAGATGCAAATAAACTTGGAGCAAAAGCAGAATAGTTACGATTCTTTCAGTCCCTCTTCTTCCTCTTTTACTTTCAGAATTAACTTCTGTTATCAAAAACCACCTATGTATTTACATATTGAGTGACCCAAAGTGAAAGGTTTAGTGAGTGAACAGAAAAAAGCTATCAAATGAAAATGGTTGTTACACATAGTGGAGTTTTTTAATGAAAGTGGTAAAGCTGAGCATGTGCGTTAAAAAAGCGAACTTTTGAGGGAGAAAGGCAGGAGGAAAAATGGCGGCATTAGCTTACTTCAGCTTCATATCAACGGCTAAACCAGTGTAAAAGTAGCATATGACTTCTCAGAGAAAGACTAAATTACTAGTAATCTAGACTAAATTAATAGTAAATCGTCATAGTTGGTAATTTCAACAGGTATCCTAGTGAGCTCAAATATTAGCCTATCGACTCTTTCGTGTTCTGTTCCCATTTCTTACGGGTGTTCATGACACCAAGTATCATCATAAAGAAATATTGGCGCAGTTTTTTTTTTTACTTTCAAAATTTTAACACCCTGTTAATTATGTAAGGAGGGTTTCTGCAAGAGAAAATAGAAGAATTGATAGTTACAAAGGAGGACAGTAGCACAGAGACAGCCCACAACCAGTGCTCAGTTGAATGAAAGTACCCGCGGCACCCGACTTTGCTACTTTTTCAAGTAACATCGCAAGTTTGGGCATCTTCACGATTTTTCCTTCCGTTTTGTCCTTGAGCCATGCATCCAAGACAAGATTATGCGTCGAGTTTTGAAGATGGTGCTCTTCCCTGGCTTTTATCAAGCTTGATGTTACTTTGAAACCATTCCTGAAATGCAATTTTAAAAGAAAGTAAGTAACACAATGACAAATCGTTTTATGCATATGTTCAAACAAAAAACTGAACATAAAAAACGAAAACTTATTAGTACTTTCATTTTATTTTTTAATTCCATGAAAGGATTTGTACTGACATGAATTAGTAACAAAAAGGAGAGCGCTCGTTCTGATTCGATGACTTTGATTTTGAAAGTAGGGCTCTGTGCAAATAGAGGTTTTCCCCTTAATTTCCGTCTGATGCAGTCCCTGATTTCAATCGACTCGGTTATAGAAGTGATTGTTATCAAATAGGAGCTATTTTAACATTTGTGTAACACCTTCATTTCGTAAAATGCGAAATTTTTATTGAAAATTTTAACTGCAGATGAGGGAAAAATCATCTTTGAGAAGCAGAATCTTAGTAAATGTTTGACCAAAAGATTCTCGTTGAGGCCACAATTATGCTGTTTAAAACTTTGTTACAGTAGTAAATTGATATGCTTTTTCACTTCCTCAAGATAGTAATGTTAGCAATATTTATGAGACTGCAGGGGCTTGCGATACCATTGGCATTCTGATTTTTCCTTTAAATTGTCCTTTCTTTTAGAATTTTCCTGGCCCTTCCCAGATTTTGGTTTGATCACAAACCTCTGACCTGATTATATTTGCCTACTTTGTCTGGTGATCACTATTCCTAATTAGCACAAGGTCACTTAAGACAAATTGATTTTTTTTTTTTGCAGTTACATACATAGAAACGGAATGAAATAATGCGAAAATAATGATGACAGGCAATGAGTAGATACTCATCAGCAACAACTATACAAAAATACCTTGCAATCTGAATGGATGGGGCAAGCAAAGTTTCCCATGGTAGAGATCCGTGCAGTTGATGAGCAAGGGCTAATCCTGCTAAGAATCCAGGCACTCCAATGCCAATATCTGTACTTCTTGTGGGTCGAAAATCGATTAGATCCAGAACTTTTCCCTCTCGATGATCATATATCAGCATTAATCCACCTCTGAAATTCGCAATAGAAAAAAAATTATTAATTATTCCTGCTCCTTCGGACTGAGGTAAAAGCACGGGAGATATAGCCAATAAATTACAACTGTGTAATTATTTTTGGGAACAGGAAGCAGCTCTGTGCCCATCTCTTGAGTAGTAATTTTATATTTTATTTAGTGCATCTGTGTCCATGCAAGTTTTGTACAGTGGCGATAATAAGTAGAGTAATAAAGTAAAAACACAATAGAATAAAAATTCGCATTTACAGTCATCTAGTCATCAAAGTCGCCTCTTGCAATGATGTTGTCCATTCATGCAAATTTTACCAAAACTCGCCCTGTCCATTCCCTCAACATACTTGAACCACATTTTTTTATAAAACAGTCTTGACACCGCCCATCACTGGTTTTTAAGATGATTTTTAGGTTTCTGTAGCATATCAAGAACAATGCCAGAGTGTTAAATGGACAGGTGTTAAATGTTAGCCGGTTGGTTCGTTCAGTCCAGATCAAGTAGACTGTACCCAAGACCAATCCATGCGAGTCTGTAATTTCCATGGATAAGTTTTAAGGCTCCACTCCCTCCTGAGTATCGGGGCTAGATGTTAAAATGCAATGTATTTCTAAGAGGAAGCCAATACTGCATCATAGTGGCAGTGGTCGAGATGAGGTTGAACGAGACAGTGGATCTCAAAAAGTACAAAAAGGTCATCTATGATAAAGAAATACAAAAAAATAATTTATAGTGAAGGAAAAGTACAACTTTCTTACCCTCCAACTCCTGTTAAATGTGGCCGAATGACACCTATGCACATTGTTGTGGCAATGCCTGCATCAATAGCGTTTCCACCTTTTTGCAAAATGGATATTCCGATCATCGAGCACTCCTTGCTGTCACTCGCAATGCTGCCATGAGGTGTAATCTAAACAGACGAACAGATTACTATAAAGTAATAATTGCCAACTTTTGGGATTCATCAACGGTAAGCCTAATTTTTAAGAGCTGTAAGAAAAGTAATATTTTTCTAGAAGTAATAATGCAACAGGAACCCAGACTGAAGCCGAAATTTTGGGGAGACTAGGATTTTTAAAGTTTCAGACTTTTTCTGTACAAAAATTCCCCATTTCTTACCAACTTCCTACATCAATTAATATTATCTAGGTATAAAATGTTCTACCTTTTTTTTTTTTTTATTTATTTTTTTTTTATTTATTTTTTTAAATGGTACTACTTTGCCATCCCTATCAATGACTTTAATATTTGAATTTAGGGATTGTGTAAAATCTGCACTACAAGCTGGTGAAGTAGGATCACTTGGTAGATTGGTGAAAAAATATAAAAAAATAGCTACCTGATGGTTCCCATATTTAATCTGTATTGCAAGGGCAGCAGCAACTGCCACAGAGAAAACAGAGAAGAACGTAATTATGAAGTTTAGATTGCCAGTCTCCTTGCTTGAGGAATATAATGGTGACGTCTCGCTCCTTTCTGAATTAATATAGTTAGCTGGAATAAAAATTAGAAAACTACAATAAGAAATTAATTTTACATCCATTTCTATGAACAAGAGATTGGTTGCAATAGAATCATAATACATTTCAGCGTCATGTTGAGGTAAAAATTAGAAAAAAGGACAGGAGCCATGAAAATGGTGCGTAACAACTTTGCCTCTCTTTTTACTGTCATAAAGTAAAAAATCATTACTAGGTAGGCTAAACCTACTTATGTGACAGAGTATTCTCTTTACTAAGTTTGTATCAATTTGTCGCAGAATAATTTGAAAACTTCCTTTACCTGATAAATCATAATGCCAAGGTTGAAAGACACAAACTTGTGCCCCTATAATTCCATCTGATATTCATTAGTTAGAAAATCCAATAACTGGGATTAACGGAGTACTTAAAACTACAAAGATAACAACTCTGATTGCAAAAATTCGGCTCATATTTCAGATTTTCAAGCTGAGTCTTAAGTTTTCATGATGGTAAAATATTTTTAAATACCCGAAGAAAGGTCATAAAAAAGTTTAGGTATCCAACAGCTTTCGGTAAAATTATCCTCTGAAAACATTTAAACATTGCAGACATCTTGAGAGACATGTTTTTCTAGGTACTTACACCACCTAGCTATATCATTAGGAGTGATTAAATTTGCAAATTAGGAAGTAGAATAAGATGAATTCCTGTGATTTCAACTTACTTATCAAGTTGATCTTTTTAGAGAAAAAAATTGAAAAGAAAAAAAAACTTATAAATTGAACTAGCTGGGTTCTCTGAGCACTATTAAATACAATTTGATTAATCTTAACTTAAAGCTTAGCGTGACTTAAAGCTAAATGCTCGGTTTTTAGAGGGAGAACCTTCTATAAATCGATGCATTGTCATCTCCTATCTGTTGCAAGTCATACGGCAAATGAGGACTATGTGGTACTATGGAACTACCGACCGCCAAGAATTAGCGATTTTAAGAACATCGTTTTTCATTAAGGTCATTCGATGGACGCCATATTTTGTGTCCGAACGGCATGCGATATATCGCATCAATTGGTTCCATATTTTCAGCTACTCGTCATTTTTCTCCTATTTTGAGATCGCACTTCTATTGTCAGGAGTCTAAAGCATTCATTTACCAATTTTAACAAAGAAATTCAACTTAATAAAGGCGTGGTTTTTTCAGAGAGAAAACATCGCATTCGATACTGATATCGAAACTGCACTCGAATGCGATATTTTTTCTCTGAAAAAACAACGCCTTTATTACGTTGAATTTCTTTGTTAAAATTGGTAAGTGAGTGCTTTAGACTCCTGACAACAAAATTGCGATCTCAAAATAGGAGAAAAATGACGAGTAGCTGAAAATATAGAACCAATTGATGCGATATATTGCATGCCGTTCTGACACAAAATATGGCGTCCATCGAATCACCTTAAAATATTCTCCTCTATTTTTCTGGAGCTATAATGCAAATCGTCCACTAACTTAAGCGCAATTTTGACTTACAGTTATCATTGACAGTGTTTGTGCTCTGACCATTGAAGTTGGAACTCATGATTGAACAGCTGTGACACTAAGAAGTTATTTATGAGAGAGAAAAGTTGAAATATCATTTAACAAACGCTTGAAGAAACTTTACTGCTACATTTTGTTAAAAATCGACGAAAATTGGGCTCTATAACGGGACTTAAATTCGGCATTGCGCGAGCGACGGACACATCACATCACTTATAAAAATTAGGTTACATTGTTTGTTTATCAACAAGTGTCACCGAATCGCAGCATTCACCTGATTTCCCCATCGAAAAACTTGATCGATGATAATGACCGCCAAAATTCAATTTTGCGCTCCCACTTCGAAGGAGCGCAGACACCGCAAAAAAAGCTGAATGCATCACGAATTTTTAGAGACGATTACCAATAATTAATAATATGTTTATTTCACTTCAGTTTACATGAGTAGCACAGCCAGTTGTATCAAAATTTCATAACAAAAAAATTTCAATTTGGGTAAATTAGGGCAGTTGAAGTCAAGGAGAAAAAAATTATAACTAAATCTCAGTAGATTAAAGGTGTTAATTCTACCTAGTTAATTCTGCATAATTTGTCACAAAAAACACTACTATCTATTTATTTTAGTTATTTATTTATTTGATACGTTTCATCACAAATTACATTTTTTTTAGAACTAAGTATTTAAAAATTACAAGTGTCTCTTTCAGTGTAAGTCAAAGTTAGAGGAGGATTTACCTATCGTAACTTTGAGAAAAACAGACCTGAAGTTGAATTTCTGGCGCTGTTGCCATTGGAAATGAGAATAACTTCAAATGCTCAGAGCATTAATAATGCGAATTGGGCAAATTTAACCAGAATAGACACGTCTCTGAACAGACTCACAATCAGCCTAACTACCTTTGTCATTGCCTAATTTCTACTCATGTGTTAGTTTTTTACAACTAATGAAGGAAATAGCTCGAAACTTTCTGTGAATTTCCCATACGAAAAAAAAGTTTCTATATTTTTTAATTTGAGTGTTACCAATTTTGGCAGAAAATTTGGCAACAACTGATGTGGTTGGGCTGAATTTGGTCAAATAAGTCTATTCTTAGAGTAATGAAAAGTGTATAACATTGAAATCTCACAGTGAATAAATTTAAATCCAATGGGTAGCTTTTTCTCACTGTACTGAACAATTTGAGTTATTACCTTGCGGCCCTTTTTCTTGAATTACTTATCACACATCAAAATTCAAAGCTTAAGGAAAGGAGGGAGCAAATCCTTACTGATTTAAAGAAAAGTTTTGAGTCTTTTTCAATAAAATGATATTTCTAAACTGTTGTGGTTTCACATACGGTTCTTTAAGTGGCTGTTCATCAAAGTTGCGCACAAGGTACCAATTAAATTTATCAGTATCTATGGGCATATAAAAAGATACCTACTAAAACTGTTCTTTTTTGAGGGATAAATTTAAGCCACTCAAATTTCCTTCTGCTGAGGATATTTATTTAGAGGGTATGAACATGGCAGAAGAGAGAAATTTGGAGATTCTTATGTATGAGCAAATGAACAAAACAGTTTGTAAAATAAAAGGTATTTTATTTTGGTTCTTTTTTGTTTTTTTAAATATAAAAAACAATATGTTGTACATTCAACACAACATAAAAAAATACCTACCCAATCCGATTTATAAATCACAGTCAATAGCTTTGAGAATATGTGTATTTAATATAATTTAATATAATACATACACCGCGGCCACCCACACATCCTTTCCCTCACACACACACACACACCCTCACCCCCACACATACAAAAGTTATTGGTAAAGCTTGTAAAAATTTCAAAAGAATAATTAAAAATGAGTAAAAATAAAATAAAGTGAAAAAAAATCTCTGATACTTGCATGATTTTTATTTCTTCATCATAAATGGATCAATTTGACCGAAATTAGATATATTGGCATTTCACATTGCCAAACTTTTTATCATGTTTTATTCTTTTAACAGAAAACTGAACAATCTAACGTTTTTGAACTTTCTCTGAATTTTCATTAAAATACAAAGAATATGTACACTTAGAAAATTTCAAGTCAAAATTTGGCCAAGTTTTCTGGTATAAAAATAAAATATGGGAAGAGATTAAGCAATGCGTTTGCTGAAGATAGACTACCTCTGGTAAAATTGTTCCAAACATGAAGTGGGATATGAAAAATATGAAAATACAAAGAGGAGAAACAAAATAGGAGCCATAAACTTTTAGCCCTTTTCGCACTCAGTGCCTGAACTATTTTTCAGTTTCAATCAATGAAAAGGAAACCAAAATCAGGGTCTAAATTTAACATTTAGGGTATACTGATAGCAATATCTCCTGTCCAATCGAATATGGCACTATCCACATTATAATCGCCTTTAATCGTAAGAGGTACAGATTTTTCTCCAATTACTTTGATCTGACTGTCATCTGATTCTTGAAGACCAGTATCACCCTTCATTCTATCAGGGAGAGGTTCAATATTTACTTCTGAGTAAAATTTTTGTCCGGCAGTAAGGACCTTATTGACAGTTGAATCGCCCCAGACAGGCAGCATTTGAAATCTGAAATTACCTGAAATTGTTGAATTTGAGATGCCATCAAGATAGTAAGTTCCTTCAACTTGATCGCAAGATACAAGTGTTGGCGTCCAGTGAATTCCTAACTTATATCCACTGTCAGTCAGAACTTCTCCTGAGACCCTTGTTGCAGGTATTGGAAAGGATAAGGGCAATTTCCCTGACCACATAGTTGACTGAACAGTTGGTGTCGTTCCTACTGAAACACTGCCATCAACAACTCGGACAGGAAAGAATCCACGAAACCAGGGCAAAATTCCAAGTTTATCATTTAATTTCTGCAGTATTGTAGCAGGAGGAGGTGGTTTGTTAAAAATTTGACTAGACGGTTTCTGCAGAGGTGTTTTTGGTACCAAAAACACAGCATTTCCAGGCCAATAGTAGTCATCATAATTTTCCTTCCAGTCACCATCAAGGACAATTTTAGACGGCACACTATTTTTCAAGAGATTTGCGACGCATTCTGACACGTTCAGTTTTTGTGTACTATATTCAACACCTTCTTTTGACTTCATTAGTAGCTTGGTAGCATACTGGATTCCAGGCTTGATAGTTGCTGCAAGTTGCTTCATGTAGAGCGATGTCAATTTTTCAATTTCACAATCGACAGCTTGCTTTGAGGTGATTGGTGATGCATGAAGCACGTTCTTTCTTGCTTTCTTGACATTGTTTGCAGGATTTAGGGTGACACTGTCTGCGAAGACAGTTTGAGTAGTTTTAGAGTTCAAGTGCACGTTGGCTTTTTCCTCCAGTAGTTCCATGTCTTTGGCGAGGAGAGGCTCATCAGGATGTGGTTCAGCATTCGAGTCAGCGAATGGAAAAGGTTGTTCCCATGGCGGAGGAGGTTTATCAGACGGCCACTTCGGGTAGACAGGTGGCCAAGGAACTGTGTTAAATACAAGATGGGATGACGTGGGGGATGGCTTGATTAATTTTGACAATTCTTCTTGGCTGAGAATTTTATTAGGAGACCAGTGTAAAAGTGAGGGGAATTTGCCTTTGCCTTCAGGGCTATCACTATCAACCATCTCTGAAACTGATTCCTCCAGATTTGAAACAGGTTCCGTTTTGACAGCACGGTCTGATGGAGAGGCCGTAATGTTGATTGGGAATGGAATAGGAAACATTTTTGGAAAGTTGGTGGGTGGAGGAGGCCATATGTCAAGAAATGGTACGAATTGTACGTTATGTGGTGCATTTTTTTGTGGGCCTTTGACTTTCCTAGGACCTGGCATAGGACCCGGTGGACCACCTGGTGGAGGACCTGGAGGTGCGTTTGGTCCTGTGTATAAATGTTTTCTACTGTACCAAGAAAACTGGGGCAGATTTGCTCTTAGCCGCATCTCAAATGTGCCTCTTAAAACATCCTGACTGGTTATTGCTGTTGGGAATAATGGTAGGGTGAAATTTCCTTTCAATTTATCTCCTTCCACACAGCCTGTCCAGAAAAGGGCCGAATTCACATCAGCGACATGATTATTGGTAAAAAAAGCAAATGGAAATGAACCAGGAGTTAAGGACGACCAAGGGTGTACTGGTGATACAGGCTCTCCATTCACTGAGTCCACATTGAAAGAAACTGCTGTGATTTTTAGCGGTGTAACTGACCAATCAGGGTTGACATCCTCCATGGCGACCTCTAAGTTATCTTTCTTCCATCGATTTTCAAAGTTGAACATTATGCTTCCGTCCCAAAGAAAAGCTGTTTTATCATCAGTGAATTCGCCAAGTAAAAGAAAGTCTGAAGTGGGTAGTGGTTGGCCAGCCTGGATTAATGAGATTTTTTGAAAAGTGTCCAGTTGCCAGTTCAAGGTCTCAAAATCATTTGAAACATTTTCTACATTTGAGCATTTAATATCTTTTAGTAATAGACGTGAACTGTGTAAAATTCCAGAAGTTGCAAAATTTTGAAGAGCATCTTCGGCGGATGTGCGACAATTTAGACTAAAAGTAGTATTTAGCCACAAAACATGTCTCTGTCTGTTTGCGTCTAAAATAAATTCTGGAATTGAAATATTTCCTTTTAAATTGTTTTCATTTATTATTGCACTCCATAAGATAACTGGTTTTGACGTTCTGATAGATGAATTCATTTTGTAAAAAAAATCAAGTGGGATGACTCTAACTTTACTCAAGATATCAAACTTCCAGTCCATGGGAAACAGCGCAATTGAAGGATCAACTTTAAACAAAATTCGATTATTTTCATTAGAAGCTGAGTTATCTTCCGAACTTGTTGATGTTACTTTCAGTTTAAACTTTACAACAGACTTTTTGGAGTAACTTGAAAGACCTGGTGCAGTTTTTAGAGTCATGTTATGAATGTGTTCTCTCATTCTTCTATTCTCTTCATCAACGTGGTCATCAAAGGCATTTCTGTTCCGATGCGGTTCAGCTGGGCCCAAATGATTTGGATCTGTGCTATTTTTGCGTCTGTAATCACTTATGGTTCCTGGTACAAGCTCCCACTCACTTTCTTCGTCACTTATATTCATATGATGACCTGGAATCGATTCTTTTTTGTAGGTCACATTTTGAAAATCCCTGTCCAATTTCATTTGAAGTTGGGATCTTTGTAAGGTTTTCTTCTCTTGAAAATTAGCTTCAGGTTGATTTTTCCCTACTACTACCTCCAAATCCACCCACTCATTTACTGATGGGTCAATTGACTTTAATGGACCATTTCCAAAAGTTTCAAAATGTCTAGCCATAAGATCAGGTGTATTTTTCAAAGTTGCATTGCGTATCGTTTCTCTCATTCTTCGATCTCTTTCATCGATATAGTCATCGAGGGCATTTCTGTTGCGATGCGGTTCAGCTGGGCCCAAATGGTTTGGATCCGTACTATTTTTACGTCTGTAATCACTTATGGTTCCTGGCACAAGCTCCCATTCACTTTCTTCTTCACTTATATTCATATGATGACCCGGAATCGATTCCTTCTTGTACGTCACATTCTGAAAATCCCTGTCCAATTTCATTTGAAGCTGGGATCTCTGCAAGGTTTTCTTTTCTGGAACTTCATCTACAGCTGGGAGGACGTCATTGGGTTTCAACAAATCATCTTTGGCAGATTCAAAATACCTTGCTACATCTGGGGGGCTATAGGCGTCCATTTCACTTGGGACTAACTCGGGCTTAGAAGGGTTGATTTTTGGAACAATCACCCAGTCACTATCAAAACCAGTATCATTCTCCAAAGAGTCGGGATCTAAATTCTGTTCGGTCTTTGAGGGAGAGTTCGCCGATTCTTCTTGTGCCTTTTTGGTGGGTGGAAACAACACAAAAGCTGTACCATCCCAGTAGAACTCGGAGCGATTCATGCTGAATTGTCCCTCCAAAAAAATTGGGGCTCTCACTTCTTTTGGGGACTGTTGTAAGACAAATGTTTGATGGAACATTGATGGCGCACTCTGAAGAATGAAATTCTCCTTTGACACAGTTGGTTGTTTTTGCAAAATGAAGTCTTCTGCTGAAGGAGACTCAAGAGAGAAATTCTTTGAAGACGCCTCCATATCTGGAAGAGGTACTTTCATGTCTTTTACCACCTTGTAATAAACTGGAGATGACATTAACTGACCTTGAATAGCTCGCCAGGAAAATTCTGAGTCAGCCTGGAATTTCAATTCAAAGTTTCCATTCGCCCAGCAATGATCACCTTCAGAGTTATAACACATGGGTGCAGAGAATGATCCATTGATGTAGATTGTATTTTGACCGACAACTTGCAGTGAACTGGAGAACCATCGAATACCAGTGCTAACTTTGAGTGGGGCATAGAGGGATACATTAGGAGAGCCAATGTATGCTGGTAAAGTTAGTGCAACAGGTAAACTTCCTTCCCAAACCATGACTTCCTCCTGAGTTTTGATGCTACCAGCAACAAGACTTATGTTCACTTGTTCACGATGTTGCAGTACCTCATGACTTTGAGCTGGAACAAAGTAAGATTCATTGTGGTAAAAATTTATTCTACCAAAAAAACGTGAGAAAATGGAGAAATAGACAAAAATTTACCAGCGACTACGTCGCCAATGTTCATCACTAGTACAGAAAAATGTGCGCTTGAAGGTGCTTCATTTATTTAGATTGACTTCCTTTGAAAAAACTAAATAACTAACCTACTCTCGATTTTTCAATTTCACATGAGTAACAATTGCACTTTCTTCCAGCGTAATTATACTCTCATATATGTATAGGGGTAAAAAAGTTACAATTATCATGACATCATTATGCTATATTATATTATTATTCACTCATAAAAGCACAGAGGTCATTGAGTTACTTTAGAGAAGAAATACTAGGGAGTAGTGTCATAAATGAGAGTTGGAATACCGTTCGGCACCAGTTGCTCTTTGAGTAGGAACAACAAACTACTTGGGATGGAATTAAATGACGAAATTTTGAGATGGAAAATTTAGAGTTGTATTGAGACCAAAAGAGAGAAAAAAGTTACAAAATTACAAGATTGAAATAGTCACTTGAAAATGTGCCAAAAGGGCGAAAATGGGCACTACGTACTAGTACGGGTCGGGGATGGAATAAGACCTCGATTTTAGGGCAGCGCAAGCTTTTATAGACTTGCTGACGTCACAGGTGGTGAGACAACAAGTCTACACGCTATTGGCTGGCTATAATCAGTGGAGCTATCAGTTGCAAGTTCAGTAATTAAAGTAATGGGTAATTGAAGGTGATGGCTGGGAGATAGGACTGAAAAAGACAAAAATGAACGAAATCCAGCCATCCCTGATGAGTGAACTGAATATGTAATGAAAAATCGAAAATGTGAAGGAAAAATATGAGAAGGTGTTGACAAGTAGAAAGCTGGACACTAGAACAAGATACAATTATCGCTCAAAAATTATTTGTGTTTGTTACTCATGGTAACTACGAATTTGCAGAAATCGCAAAACAAATTTACAAATATGAATTTGTCAGTTCTCAAGTTTTGCAAGTAATAAGGAAATTATGAAAATGATGCAAATTAAGATGTAGGTATTTGGTGTAAACAGGCAACTCTGAAGAAATAATTGCATTGGAAGTTTGCCCGAGAGTATTTACAGAACTACATACAAGAATTCTTAAAGCAACAGAATGACAAGAGGTGGTACTGGTGGCAATCTATCTGGTCATCTTTTGTCAGATCAATGGTCAAAGTGCTAAACGACGTACCTCCACTTGCAACGTTGCAGAGTTCCTGTTATAATTTATGTTTTCTTTGAAAAACTAGTAAACGTAATTTCTTGAAAACATCCTTGATTTTTCTTTTCTGTTAGCAGAATATTCTGTGTAAAATTCAAGCTATTAAGTGGCTTGTCTTTTTTTAAAAAAAAACTGTGATGGTATCAGGAGCACCACAACAAAGATACAAGATTTTGTATTTCGGCCATCAAGGTGCCTTTAGTTTATTGTTTATTCAGGTATGAAAAAAGTGAAAATTTTACAGAACCTCTCATCTTTAAAATGAGCAGTTTTAGGGTAATTTTTGAAGGTTTTCCAATTTTACTTCAAAAATGGCACTACAAAACCATTATGATTACACAATATTTCCACCATCTAGGTACAAGCGCACATAAAAAACAAGGTGGTAGGGTAATACAAGATGGTAGACAACAACTTTCTGGGAGAAATCAAAGCCAGGAAAAATAAAAAATTAGAATTGAAGTTCCAATGAACTCTGCCTGAGAGAGGAGAGTCGTTCAGCTTAGGCAGTCGCGTACTGGAGATGCATTTCTAAGGTCCTTTTGAGGGACTAATACTGGTTCCACTCTTATTTGAGCTGTTCAGTTAGTCACACCCAATCAGAGTGCAGTTTTGTCTCTCGCAAAATATTAAACAGTATTAAAATACCGCCATTGATGACTTGCCAGGCATAGAACAGTCGCACAACGCTTGTTCCGTCAGCAGCCGTTGCTGCTGAAATACTCTTGAGTCAATTAATGGAAGGAAAAAGACCAGAAAAAGTGACTTTCACGCAGTTGGAGATGCATACGCATCTAGACACAACTGCCTGCTCTCTGATGGAAAAATCACATAACTCCAACTACAGTATCTGGGTCATATTTTTAATGTTTTTTTTTCTGCATACATGAATTAACAAACATATTACCTGCAGCAAATTGCTGGGTCTCTCCAGAAGTTTCGTACTGATGACTGTCTGGGTTATCTCCACTCCACACAGGATTCCCAAATGGACTAAGCTTTATTTCAGGAGTTTGTCCAGTAGATTTCCCTGAGATCCTACAAAAGGCAATTTCATGATGAAATTAGACAACTATACATAAAATAGATTTGTTACATCACTTTTTTTTGCTTTCTTTTATCTAATGACATATGTTTACTTTAAATAGGGCGTCAAATTTTCATTTTAAAAGGAAGCTCACAGTACAGATGCTTGAGCAGCATTTTTGGCTGAAAAGAATAAATGAGAGGTTTGGATCTTTCCTATCATGGATCAATCTCCCAATCTAAGCCTATTCATAAGACATAATTGAAAAATAAAACCGTCAATACATTTGGGCATAGAAAAAGAAACAGTACCTGTCTGAATAAAAAACGCCAAAAAATAAAATTTTGAACATCAACATCTTGAAGGCTCAATTGATATAAACTTTGGTAATTTTTTTGCTACAGATTTTTTTTTTTCACTGAGGACGGCATTTAAATGAATTTGACACTTGCACAAAGTAAGCTTCAGATTTCAATTGTGCTTTTGTGAAAATGTTGACTGGGTTCAAAGAATGTTCAAGAATGCTTAACCGGAAAAGAATGGAAAGGAGAAAAAAAAGACAGTTTAGATGATTAAAATAAATGGTGGGGAAAGGCAGTAATCACTATGGGGATCTGATTAAGTAAGTGTCAATACGAATAACGTGTAGTGTGATATTGAGACTTTAGATGCAGAGATGATAGGGTTGAAATTTTGGTGAGGCTAATTAATGAAATGCATTACATGTCTTGATAGGTAGTTAGATTCTGGAAAACGGTGGAAAGAGATCTTCTTAGAGGAAGCTTCTCCACTGTAAAAAAAACCAAAAACCAAAAAAAAAAAAAAAAAAAAAAACCCACTTACGAACATCAGGCATTGCAACATTAATATGATCAACCCCAAATTTTCCTGATACTTTGAGTATAGCTGACTTTGAATTTTTTACGAGCTTACTTTAAAGTGTCAAAAACCCTCCAGGAAAAATATAAGTAACTTTTGTAGAGAGAAAATATTTTGTTACAAGCACTTTGGGAACCTACCAAGCGACAGAGAAACTTCAAGAAGACTATCTAATTAGCAATGTTTCAAAATCTCTGCTTTCATTTAATTTAATCAAAAGAGAACAAACTAACGCTAGTGTTTACTTAATGTTTTTGGATAATATTCATGACATAGACAAGAAAAATCAATGAAGTTATACTTAAATAAATTATGTTTAGTACTTTTTAAAAATTTTCAAAAATAAAGTATGACAGGAAGTCTGCGAAATAGCACGCTGGAAAGCGCCATCCTGTTGTTTTATCCTTTTCACCATCAAAATGTTCACACGGCATTCTTCTCTTAGTAGAACTTAGAATGATGCATTGAACAACTATTTGAGGGAATGGAAATTTGATATTTGGGATATTCAAACATTTACACAACTTTTTGGACTTACAAGTTTCAGCATTAATTGTACACGTGCTAATCAAGTGAATAAATAAATAAATAAATAAATAAATGAATAAATAGATAAATAAATAAATAAATAAATAAATAAATAAATAAATACAACAATGAAAAAAATTAAAGAATAGTAAAAAATATATGAGCAAGAAACCTAAAACTAGAGACTGAAAAATGCAGAGCCATACTTACAATCAATCGGACCTGCTTGGTGGCCATATTTGCCCAGGTTCAACTCAACAAACTTGCTTGAATCTTTCCAGATACATTTTAAGCTTGACGGTGATGATGCACCGAACATAACTTGGCATCAGAGGTGTGTGGTTCTCAGCTTCAATCTTATTGGTGTTGGCTTGTTTTTTTCTCTTGCACAGTTGTCTGCAGCAATTCATTGTCACGAAAAGGCCCACTCCACCATAAAGCCATATTATCTGAAAACAAACAAGAAAATGGGTACACAAAAACTTAATTCCCTGAAAAAATTACTCTACCCAAATTTGTCCTGCCCCATACTGTTTAGCTTTCACTTTTCCTGAGGGTAAAAAAATTGGTGCATTCTATAACCCCCCCCCCCCCCCCNTTATTTTAGAATGAAAAATTGCAATGAATCAACAGGACACGTTCTGAACTACTACGGCAGTAAAGTGTGGTTACAACCTGCTCTTTACAAATTGTATAAAAACTCTCTCTGGATCGACTCACTATAGGGAGCGCAGAGAGCAACAGGGGGTCAAAGTTGGAGTAGACTTACTTCATTTGCCACAAAAATTTTTAGAGGATGGAACAAACCTGGACTGTCAAGTTTCCCAGCTATCTATAGGCGTAGCACAGCTTGGCGATTTCTTTGAGGAGACTAATAAAGCAGTTCTCGTTTGATTTCATCTCTGCAAAGAGCCATAGGTATTATAATGAGTGGTCTTTTTTTTCACTTTATATGTCCCACAAAGGATAATTTTCTTCTCTACCATCCCTGAAGTCTCGTCCGCCCTCCGCCCTTAATCAAGTCAGTCCCAGATAACCGTTGTTTGAAACCATCAAACTCGAGTCACCTGGCGAGGAATTGAACCTGGAATGCTAAATTATTAGGTTTTCAATACCTCTCACAAGTCGATGTTCAAACAGCTTCACTGCTATTTAATATTGTTTGTGTGTACCCTGTCTTAAATGAAAAAAAGAGTGCTTAATTTTCCACAACTACATCCTCACATCTGTCTCCTTACAGGAATGTATTGACTGCCCAGCAGTCTGCATTTACCTCTGCCCTCTACAAAACATTGGAACACAATCAGAGAATCTTCTTATACCTATCATTATTAAGGCAAATTTTCTGTTCGATGGTTTTAGTGTCTGTCTAACTCACTAGATTCACCTTACTTCAACTAGGTACTCTTCCTCGACCGTACTTCCATCTTCCGAATGGCAGTTAATCTCAGAAAGTTACTTTCATCTCCTATTGATTAATTCTGAATTGCTTAATAGGAGAAAACTCATGCAAGAGACTTTGAAACTTACCAACAGCATACTTGATGCGGAATATTACAGGACAAGTGGACAGTGAGAAAAACTTCATTTTCCTGAAGACTTCAAAAATTTGAGACACAAAAAACTTCTTGGATGTCTGGAGAATTGAGTCAAAATATTTCCTTATTCTAATTTTACACGGAAAATTTAGCTGGTATATACAAAAAATAAAAACTTAGTCTACCTACTTTACCATGATTTAACCTAAAAATTTTCACGTTGTTTACAAAACGAAGATCCTGAGATCCTGATATCCAATCAGAGCATCTCGCGCCAAAATATTTTGTTGGGACTCGTTTAACCAATAAGAGAAGAGCGGGAATTTTCTCTAATTTTGAATTGACGCACCTTATTTTCCGGAGCGCTTTTTACTTTTGCGGCGCCTTGGCGCAGGAGTTCACCAATAGGTATAACCCGATTAAAACTCTTTTCGTGTTTCCAAGCGTCGGAAAATTTACGGATAGCTTTTACTACTCATATTTTTTTCTGAGAGATCGCAAAGGATTCAGATGAGCAAAATTCAACACTCAGGTCAGAAATTAGAGGGCATGTCTTGCCCCCTAACATTAGGTATAATGGCATTTAGTTGTTTCTTGTTCTAATGAATATTATTTTTCAGGCATAATTTCAAATAGAGAGACTGTAAAAGTAGGAGTGACTTTTTTGAAAACGAACAAAAAGTTTGAAAAATAAAGAATGGTTTATTTTAATTTTTTTGATCAACATGAAAAATAAGTCATTATAACACAGCATATAAAAATACTAAAGTTTACTAATCGCAGTCAATAGCTTCGTTTAAATTGAACAACAGCACTTAAAAGAAAACAAGTAACGTAATCAAATACTACCAATTAGGCAAATCATTTGTGAGATTAGCAAAATATCTGTGTTTGTTAAAATCTCAAATAATTTTGGAAAACATATAAAATTAAGAAGTGGATGGTATATGAAACTAAATAATTTTTAGTCTTAATGTTACCGAAAATAATTAGAAAAAAATGAAAGTTTGATTGGATTTTTGAAAAGTACGATTAATGGAAGAGGAGACGGGTTGAAAGCGTCTCATTAATTTTTTGGGATAGGAAAGAAAATGATAAAATGATTAGTTAATACTCTTGGTGCATAATTTTCCGACAGGAATGCTGCTACTTTGATTAGTAAAGCTAATACTGGTCGATGGGTGGACAAGAAAAAATTACTAACATTAGTATTATCATGGAAAACATGTTTGGTGAAAATGGCACTTGATTACGAATAAAAATTGTAAAAACCTGCTTTCATGGGATTCTAATCTTAACTAACATATTCTGACTAAGCCATTGTTTCTTTGACAATAAAAATTGATTCAATATTTCTTTGCTAACTATTATCAGACAAAAAATACTGGGACACTAATACTGCAAAAATGAGGAACAGATGTCCTGCATCAAATTGTTGTCAGATTTTCAGACTTTTTTTGGTTTTAAAACTTGACTTTTAAATCTGTCATCAATCAAATGTTCCTTGATTACTTTCATTATGCGCTGACATACTTATGAGTGTGGCTCCTTGGGGTTTTTATGGTGATTGGAGGCTCTCAGCATTTTTGGTGTGATGTTGAGTTTATTTTAGTTAGATCAATCAGAGGTTTTTTTTATATAAGATTCAGTCTATTAGAGATTTAAGTCTATCATGGGTGGCGGTAGCCACCTCCGGACAAAGTCTAAACTCGACAACACTGGATTTATGTACACCGTACAATCTCCATCCAGGGCATCCTCAGCATCAAAATGCAGGGTACCAATCTGGTGTAAGTGATTGGAATAGCAAAATCGCGACACTTATAGAGCGCAGCCAAACAGATAGTTGGCAAAAAAACACTCACATTTTCAAACATCAAGATGGACTGATTTTGAAAGTAACTGATAACGAGAAGTTATAAATGGAGATTATATTTTATTGAAAAAATCTCCAAATATTTTGATTCTCACAACATTTACAGTATTTCCACTAAATAATTAAAAGGGTATCATTTGAGTTAGATTTTAGAGAGGACATATTTGGTTGGAGAGGTGGAGCCTTCAGAAAATCTCGCTCATTCAGACTTGTTAAACTTATTCAAAGCAACTCATTATTCTGAGCATTGCAAGAGGGAATTACCCTTTCATCCCTCTCTTAATAAGGCCCCTGAATACTAAATTTAATGACGCAAGAAAAGCAGTGCAGTTTTGATTTAAGAAGCCCCTAAAACATTTCACTCTGAAAGATTCATCTGAGGTTTCTTAGCTACTTTTAAATTTTGATTAACCCACCCCCTTACAATTTCAGCCATGGGTGGCGTAAATACAGAATTACCCACCATGGCTTGATGCTTAATCAAAACAGGCCTGTTTTGATCTAAGAGCCAAACAAGACTAAAGTTTAGAGCGTCTTACTTCAATTAAGAATGCTTACGACTAGAAACTTAGCTTATTAACATTTTCTCAGCCATACAAAACTCTTGCATACTTCTGATTGAATTTTCAACCATCAAATATGATACATATTTACAAGCAGATTTCAAGATTGCTTAAAGATCTACCGTAAGAACATCAAATTGCGACGAGGAATCAATGTAAAAAGAGAAAATTCTTACACTGTAAGTGGAATCGATTATGAAGAGTTTAAAATCTTTTATCGCAAATGACTTGTTTAATGGTTTCTGCTCATATTTGATTCTTTCAACGAAGAAGAAACTAGATACGACTTTGCATGATTTGTGGAAAATTATTATAAACATAAGGAAACTTACATAAAATTTTTCAAACTAATAGTCGATAGTTGTTTTCAGGATAATCATAAGGGTCAAAAAATTAATTGTCAAAACCTTAACACAATTGGAACATTAAAGAGCGATGAAAAATACTACAGAGAGTTTCCAATTGTGTGAATTTATTTTCTTCTTTCCGTTACATTCCTAATAGGAATGCGTGCAAAGTCCATAAAGAGGATATTTTCATCATTTTTAGCCTTACCTCCAGCTTAATCACTTCTGCACACAAAGCTTATTCAATGAAAATGACACTTGACTGTAAAAGTGGCAGTGTTCTCATGAATGGTCACTTATTGAAAACACCTAGAGAGTCAATAAATGAGGCGTGGTTTATTTTGATGACTTTTTCATAGATGGATTGGCATTTTTACGGCTGAACTCTGGAAAAACGCATCTCAATTATTAAGTTTTACAATTTTTGTTCCAAATTAATATCTTACAATAAGAAAAAAACCAAGGGAACTTTTTGCTTTAAACTTTCATAAAATATTCTTCACAGAGTGAGGAAAAGTTATGGGAGATTTTGAAAAGTTCCATTGATTACTTTCCCTTGTGAAGTAGGAGACAGGATGAACTAGAAAAAATTACACACCATGTCAAGTTCGTGACATTGCAAATTGAGATACAGTTTTTCAGAATTCAGTAATTTATTTGCCACCGGTGAAAAAATTATTCCTCAACTGGAACACCAGGGGAGGAAAATCAGTTGAAGTCAAAATTGGTGTCGAAACGAAACTTTTAAGGTATACTAATGACGCTGTCTCCTGTCCAATCAAATATTGTATTAGCTAAGTTGTAATCACCCTTAATTGTTAACGGAGCATTCTGCTCCCCCACTACGTCAGCAGGAGCTACATCTTTTTCTTGAGGACCAGTTGCGTAAAACTTCTGCCAATCAGGACGAGCCTCGATGTTTATTTTCGAGTAAAACTTTTGTCCCGGAACAAGGACCTTGTTGATGGTTGAGTCGCCCCATACCGGGAGCATCTGGAAACTGAAGTGGCCTGCAGTGGTCGAATTTGCGTCACTATCAAGATAATATGTTCCTTCAACTCGACCATAGGCCACAAGCGTTGGCGTCCAGTGGATTCCTATCTTGCTTCCACTATCCGTAGAGACGTTTGCTGAGGCCCATGTTACAGGTATTGCGATGGGTGTGGGCAATTTCCCTGACCAGATAGTCGAGTGACCCATAAACAATGAATCTGATGGTCCTGCTGTGACACACCCATCGATAATTTTGACAGGGAAAGGTCCATGGAACCACGGGTTAATACTCAGTGGATCACCTCCGAAATCCCAACCACTTGGTTTCTGAAGGGGAGGGTGAGGAGGTACTTTAGAGGGAGAGGATGGTTTATCAGGAATTACAGATGGAGTGGATGGTTTATCAGAAATTACAGATGGAGTGGACGGTTTATCAGGAATTACAGGCGGAGTGGATGGTTTATCAGGAATTACGGAGGGAGAGGATGGTTTATCAGGAATTACATTATTTTCTTTGGATTCCGAGCTATCTTTGGAACCTGCTTGCAGAATAAAACCAAGTTTCGGTTTCTCAGATGGAGCACTTGGCACAGCTCTTACAGTTCTCTTTTTTGCTGGACCATCAGCTTTAGTAGGAACATCAGCGTTAGCTGGGCCGTCAGCTTTAACTGGATTTTCTTTCGCAACTGCTACCATGTGTTCCTGTTTATCGCCCGACGTACCATCATTTTTGGACAAATCATCTTCAATGGATACACCATCTTTGGCTTTATCTGGTTGACTCTCGGGAACTGACAGTGGCCTAGCAGGGTTGGTTTTGGGAATGATAACCCAGTCATTATCAAAACCAGGATCATCCTCTGGCATATCTACATCAGCACTTGAGGCTGGTGTTGGAGCATCTTTTTTTACCCGCATGGCAGGAGGTAACAGTACATAAGCTGCCCCATTCCAATAAAACTCAGTGCGATCCTTACTGAACTGTCCTTCAAAGAAAATTGGAGCTCTCACTTCTTTCGGAGACTGCTGCAAGACAAATTTTTGATGGGACACTGATGGTGCACTCTGGAGGATGAATTTTTCTTTTGACACTGTTGGTTCTTTTTCCAGGATGAATTTTTTAAATGACGGTGACTCAAGAACGAATTTCTTTGCGTTCGTATCCATTTTAGGAAGAGGTACTTTCATATCCTTGACAACCTTGAAATAAACTGGAGATGATATTAACTGGCCTTGAACGGCTTGCCAGTTGAAGTCTGAGTCCGTGTGGAATTTTAGCTCAAAATTTCCATTAGCCCAGCGAACTTTGCTGTCAGAGTTGTCCCATGACTGAAAATAATCAGGTGCAGAGAATGATCCATTGACATAGATGGTGTTCTGATCGACAACTCGCAGTGAGCTGGAAAACCACTGAATGCCACCACTCACTCTGAGTGGCACAGTATCAGCGATATCAGAGGAACCAATATAAGCTGGTAAAGTTAGCGCAACAGGTAACGCGCCTTGCCAAACCATGGCGTCATCCTGTGTTTTGATACTGCCAGCAATAAGACTGATGTTTACCCACTCACGATACTGTGGCTTCCAGGCTCTTAAATCTGGTCGTGGGATTTGACTGCAAGGTAAGCGTGCATTTGATGGTGAAACACTTTGCATCACAAATCTTTGAGACTCCTCTACTCCATCTGATGTGTCACAAATGATACCAGCTAAAGATGTTTTCCTTATCTCGTTGAGTTGAGCTGGAACAAAATCAGGTTTAAAACGATTAAAAATTTGTTTTATTAGTTGTCCATGCTTTTCAACACATGAAGAAAAGTCAATAATTTGCTGATATTTCCAATAATTACGAAACTCTTTACTTTTCAAAATTAAAAATTTTAGGACAGCATTATGATAATGATTGCACAAGATACTGAATTTATAAAAACATTTTATTGAAGAGTTCAATACTTTGTATAGACACAAAAAGGAAGAAAAATACGTACCAAGTGAAAATTTCTGAGGTCCTTCAGAAGTTTCGTACCAGTAGCGATCACCGTCTTTGAGTCTCTTGAACTGATCTGCTAGGAGGCATGTGGCAGTTGGACCTAAGAGACCACCCTCGATTGGGATTTCAGAGAGAGATCCAGTATAAAGATCAACATCTTCGACTGATCTGAAAATACAATGCAATATATCTTAATTTGAAAATAAATGTTTTTCTAAGTATTGTAAAATGAAGAAGTTGTGCACTCATTTTCAGAACCAGGTTTACAATCTTACCACCCTTGGCCGACAACAGTTTACAGCTCGTAGGTCCTGAAAGTGATGATGTCTGAAGACTTCAAAGTAACAACAAAAAAAAGGGGGCATCACTTTTTAAATCTGCCTCTGCGTTTCCATAAATTGCCACCCTCAATAATTTGACTTTCATCTTTTAACTGTGTGTAGAAATTTACATTTAAGGACAGAAATATTTCAATTAAACCGGAACATAATTGCATTCTTTCTTGTTTCCATAAGTTTCTTTCCTTTTCATTTAAAGCTTGTGAGAGGAAATTTTAGTTGGGGATTATCATGAAAAAATTACATGCAGCAATGATATATGCCCGGGACAAGAATCGCATTAAGGAGACTATATGCCACGGTTTACCAAGGGTTAGTGAAAACATGATTTTAATATTTTGGCCCTAAAATACAGGCATGAAGAAGAAATGATAAATCTTCGATTTTGAACAAATTGATGCTTACTTGTACAAAGATGCCATTTTCTTCTGAGATTCAGCATCTACTACACCAGTGAGATCTTCGAAAGACGTGGGGCGTTTGAATCCGCAATGTTCTCTCCATGAAGGGTACGTTGGCATGCCATGGTCACGCCCACGTTGGATGTTCAGAGAGACAAGATCAAGACCGCAAACGGGTTTTTTCCCTGCTATATCCGTGCTATTATCAGCATCTTTCTCGAACAAACGTTGGGTCAACTAGAAAAAAATGTTGCAAGATATTATCTTGTTAGCAAAAAACTTGGGCTATCGCAACAGCTACCAGAAAACGGCTATTTTTTGTAAAGTAAGTTTAATGAGCAATAAAAAACAAATAGAGACTTTGCAACAGCTTCAGTTATAAAAGTCCAAGTGACCTTTATAAGTAAAATAAGTAGATTATTGCTTTCAGCAGGAGAATACTGTTTGAATAGAAAAATGTCTGCAAAATGATGAATAGTGTTACATGAAAGACAATCTCAACTATACTTGCAGCACTCTGTCATTCAAAACTCCAAAACGCTCAGATAATTTTCTACTTTGAAAGACAAATTTTGGCAGCGCTTGAAGAATTATGACCTGTAAAAAGCTAAGGTCTCGACTAAGCTTTTAGTATCAAATTCAAAGATGGAAGTGCAAAAAACACTTGTCACATCTAATTAGAATTACTAAGAGCTCCAGTTTAATTCAATTTACCAAGAACTAGTTTTGACTGTCCTCCTATTGAAGCTGTCACTTTTTTTTGTAGGATGAAATTTCAAGGTATTCATTGCATCGATACTTAAATAGCTTAGAAAATCAAAGAAAAAATAGAGATATAGGAAAGGAATATTTCATCTGGGAGAATGAGTTCTTAAAATTACCCCACAATTCAATCATCCTAAACATTGAATTTCAGGGAAACACATTTTGGAGAAGGCAGGAGAAAAATAAAGAGATCTTTCAAGAAGGGATCCAACTTCATCAAACAAATCAACAACCGGTAAAGAATAAAATCACTCTAGGGAAATCAGGCATAGCCTGTTACCTCAGGAGTGAAGTAAGTATCGGCACGTTCGAGATGTGTCACCATAGCCCCTTGAAGTGCTTTGGCCAAATATCCAGCAGCGTACAACTTATACGGATTGAACAACATTCTGTGGAGCTCAATGGCTTCATAGCTGTCTGCGTTTTGCGCAGCCACTTTCATGAGACCCTGTTCCAAATGATGGCCAGAAGTGGATGGAGACGAACAATGTATCAATGGAAAAATATAAAAAATCCCTCAATCAGTTTTAAGGAACGTACTTGAGGTGTGACGAAGGGCCAAGCGAGGTGCGTCTGACTGCGAGAAAAATTGTGCAAAATGACAGTAAAATACAACAAACTAAGAACTACTGTGAAACCTCAGTTTTTACGGTGAGAAATTTTTTTTGGAAGAAAGCTTCGATACAAGTGTAAAAGGGTGAATATCTACCTAATCAGAAGCTTGAGGTACAGCTTAAGATGAAAAATTCTAAAGACATACGAAAAAAAGAAGAAATGAACCATTAAAGAAATGCGACCAAAAGATTGACTACAGAAAAGGGAGCAGCAGCTGATACAAAGTGCGAGGAAAAACGACTTGCTGTCTGATAAACTGGAGCGTGGAGCACACACAAAAAATGCAATGAACAGCAATGGTGCGACAACTTACAAACAGAATTTGTGAGGAATAACATGGTTCAGTAAGAACGTTTCCAAATACATTGTACAGACTGGAAGTTTCAAAAAGCAGGATTTTTTCAAACTTTATGAAACACAAGAGCTTGTGAATGGAAAAGAAACTGCCTGAAGCAAATGGGAGGAAGTTAAATCCATATTTCGATAACTGAAGACAAAAAACTTGTAGACACCATCACTCACAGAGAGCAGTGTGGAGAGAGACTTAAGAGAAAAGTCCAATTACTTTGTGGGAAAAAGGTGTGTAACAATTCAAAGGGAACTCTAAAAAAATAATCACATGGTTGGGTTGAATCTAGAGTGATTTTAACAAATGTTTTAATAGAACAGAGATCAACAATGGTTTTAACTAAAAGACAAACCAGCAAAGATGATATTTTGCAGCAGTGACAGAGAAATAACAAGGGAAGAAAGGTAAGAGAGAAGGTGGCAGGAGGATGTCTACGGCTATTCAAATGCATCTACCTTGAGTGTATTTTTGTGACTAGCAAAATAATCGTATCTGAGAGAATATTGGAATTACCTAAACAAGTCTCATTTTTTATGGTGTTTTAAGTGTTTCAGAACAAAATAATTGATAAATTTAAAAGTGTATTAGCGGTGTAATTAGGACAGGAAAAGCACTCAGAAAATGTACTTACACACAAATTCACTCTTATAATTTTAAACGATCAAGAGATAAGAGACTGCACTATCAAAGCATCATATTGATTTAAAAAATTATCAATTCTTCAGAAATTTTTCCCCCGATATGGTTCAATCTTTGAAAAAAATCGCTCGCTTTTAACACGTAAATGAAATTTTTGAAATCACCATCGAAAAAGTACAGGAGAAACCTACTCGAGTTCTCAAGTTGGAATAATACTGATGATTCAAATGATCTATCAAATGATACTATCAAATGATCTGAAATCAGCATGACAGAAAAATGCTACAGAGAGCATAGAAAAAACTATGGTCATCATTATCGGAAAGTAACCATTAGGCTGCACACTTTTTTGAATACTTTAATACCTTCATCTTCTTGGCAAAATTTTTTTATGATTACTTGCCGCAATTTGGAGGGTTTAAATTAACTTCTCCAAAGCATTGGAATTATACTTGCGGTAAGTTGTAATGAACGTTTTCTTACCGGTAGTAAAGTGTGAGCAAAACGGAAAGATGATGCTGCAAAATTATTGGCGATGGTCGCATCTGTGGACTTGTTATATTTATTCCAGTAGCCTGAGGTTTGTGGCTGTAATTGAAGACCAGTCATCAAATGAGGACCTGTAGCAAGACATTTGGGTATTAATACACTTGATCATTAAAAAACAAAATAAAACAGGAAAACAAAAAGAAACCACAAAAGATATGCAGTGATGTAAAAAAGAAATAAAGAAATTAGGTAAACTCGCTTAGATAGAAATTATATAAAAAATTATTAGTTAGATAAAAAATAATTCATCAGATTTAACCAGAAACAACCTAAGTGCATTTCACGTTTCTTAATTTCCTCTCATGTTTTACTTTTTAGACAAAAAGGTAAACAGCATTGAAAATTGAAATTTTCTGTTAATTATATTCTTCATAATGTAAGTTACATTCACAGAAAGTGTAATGGTGAGAAGTATTTTAGTTTTCTGTTTGAAAAATGAAACTATAGTGAGACTCAGGCAAAATCTGATGTAGATACTTCCAATTCTGGTGGCAATTATTTCTTGAAGGGTTTAAGAAATTATTTTGACAAGAAAACCAAAACTGACTTATTCCTTTGTCCACGAGTACAAAACCGCATTATACGAGATGAGTTAGTGGGTATTGGGATAAAATTTCAAATTAATTGGAGAAATTTGGTAAAAGTTAATTCAGCGCTCTGTATACCAAGAGCTTGTAGCAAGCAGAAAAATGTCGCCTAAATTTTAAGTAGCGATCCAGGAACGTCCATAAATGCAAAAAGCTTTGCAAAAAAAGTTTATTCAAAATTACTTATCCTGAACAAATGCGGAGACATTTAGGTACTCACCAAGGACCACAGGGAGAAATTCATTGTAAGTAATGTGCTGCATTTGAGCTGCAACAATGTGGCGAGATTCTTGATACAGCTTTTCATCGTCCCAGTCTGGATTCGTTGAAGCCAACCATTCAGCCACGTGATTGTGTTGACGAACGAACAAAAGGTGCATAGTTGTCAGATGGAGATTCTCATTTGATCGTGGGTCACCTGGAAAGTAAAAGTTTTGTCATGAAGAAAAGGCTGACAAATGATTTACAATCTTGACTCGGGTAAGTTTCAAAATCTTTGAAACATTTCTTTTCAATTTTGCTCTTAATAACGGGCCTCACACAAATGATGTAATAATATATCAGTGTTGCTTCACCAAAAATTTACAGAATAATGACAACAACCAATGGTCCACTAAACAAGGTCTGACTTAGAAGAAAACACCACATGTTTTCTCTTCAAAATCTTACATAGAAAACAATTCACACAACAGGAAGTTTTGAAATCAACTCCTGAGCGAGATTTTAGCAAGTCCTTTAAACACAGATCAAATAGAAGTTAGATCGTTCAAATGAGGTCATTTGTATTTTTGCCATTTAACTAATGTTAAAAGAGAACACTTAATTCCTGTTCAAGAGTTGATTTACAGACTTCCCTTGTGTGATTCCTTTTCCTTGTGGAATTTTGAAGAGACAACACGTAACGTTGTGTTTTAATTCATACCTTGTACAGAGGCCCATTCAATAGATAAGGGCAAAAAATCGATAGCTGAAAGCGAAAAGTGTGTATCACAAGTTTAAAAATCTCCAACTTTGTTTTACTTTCTTCGCGCAAAACTGATCAAAGTTTCTCATTGCAATTTTGTGTATTTTTCTAGGAGTAAATTAAGAAAATACACAGAAAATTTCAAGATGAACTGTTGGTTAGTTTTCCTTCCAAAAAAAAAAAAACAACATGAGCGGAAACATGCAATCAGAGATACTTATTTATCGGCCATTATAATACTAATCAGCAACAATAAAATTGAACTCACCTGCCATGAAACAGTATCTGCCCTTCTTGTTTTCTTCCTCTTCATTGCATCCATCATTGGGATCTGTTGACATAGGGAGCAGAACCTTGCCATCTTTGCCGTAGCTAACCAGCATTTTACCGCGTTTGAAGCTCCTCAGTTTTTTGGCAAGCGCTTCATCGCTGCCATACACGACAGAAGCGTCTAGAAAACTTGATGCTTGGTTCAATTGTTCTCTTGGCCCTAAGAAATATTAAAATAATTTTAATTTTTTTTTCCACCTAAGAAAAGAACTCAGAAATATCAGTTAAGCACTAAATAACAGATAAGACAAAGCGTTTTAAATAGGAATTACTCGGCAATGATGTAAAGTTGAAATATTACAATTTCACAAGTAAAAGGTGTTTTTGACAAGCACTTAAATTGTTTTGAATGTAAACTGAAAGAATTGCAAGGTTTTTTTTTACTTGATGACTTTTCTGGTTTTTTATTTGATGTAACAGGAAAATACAGGAAAATAAAAATACCATAAGATACCTAAAGTGCAGGAAGGAGCAGGTGCAGAACGGACAAAATCTAGACAATCCGTCCCTGAGTCTTTGAATTTTGGATCTTCTGGAGTAATTCTAACAGGCATACACTCAGGATGTGCAGTTTCGGGAGTTTTTGAGCAGCAGGAGATAGGTTCACCATTTTGTCCTGTAAATGAGAAAGACACCTCCTGATGAAATGTCCTGTAAATGCAGCAACAACAGGGGACGCAGAGCACCAGAGAGCGCTATGAAAGCGGCTTTATACATACATACAAATGAGAGAGAACAAATTTCTAATCTTTTTGTCCATTTCACTCACCTAACTACCTTTTCCAGAAATAAAGTAAAATCTTCATTTTGGACCAGTTCATTTTGCGTTTTGAATTTTTAAAAGGAGGCTCACTAATCATTAAAATTGATTTTAACTAAAGAGAGATAGGTTTTACTACAATACATGCAAAGACTCTTTAATACGATCATGAGAAGATCATTAATATTAAGAGAGCTATGTGCTATTTCCACTGGATAGGTCACTTGACTAAGGCCTAAATTTTTATCAGAGGAGCTAGCATTAGGTTTGTGATAAAATTATTTAGATCTGCATGTTCATGTTTTTGTTCGTTCACTTAAATTGCAATCTTTGCATTACTTTTAGGATGACCAACGTTTGAAATTTGGTGTACAGCGTACCTTGACTGAGCGCAGTTGCTGTCAAGTCGTGATCAAGGAACTGTCCCCAAACAGCAAGCATAACAGTGAACTTGGGGTCATCCCGATACTCAGGTCGATGAATAGTTAAACTAACTTCTCGGGCTGAGGGTAAGGAAGAATTGTCACTACTCATTCGAGGCATGGACACACCTTAAAACAAAACAAAAATTACATGACAAATCGTTCTCAGTTCACAGACTTCTTCCTACAACAGTGTTGATGAAAAAAGGAGAGGAAAACAGAAAATGAAAAACTCAATTTGAAAAAATTCAATAAAAAAAGGGAAGAAATTATCGGAATTTTAGCATTGAGGAGGGAACTGCGAGCACCTGAAACATGTCTGCGTTCTGTATAGACTTTGTAACTTTACGTTTTTATATTTACCTATTTGTTATTTTCTTTCTCAATTCACCAGTTCACAATGCATAAGTAGGTGCCCTCATTTTTCCCATATATTTGTAGTTTCTTTGTTTTTACAGGTTTATCAGTTGGATCAGATCTTCTTCAAATTCAGCAATCATTTTGGTATTGGTATTTAAGTTTTTACAGGATGGCTAAGCTACACGTCAATCAGAGGGATTGATTTGTGAAAAAAAAATATTACTTAACATGTTTGCCATTCGGAAGTGTCCTAAGTCAAAATTGATATACAGGGTTCTTGTGACAATGTCAGGGAGTAAAAATAAGGATAGAAAATGATTAAGGAAATTACCATCTGCATAATCTGGAGGGAGCATCCTTCTAAAGGGCTTCATAGCAACACCCCATGTGTGATTGAGATTATTACATGTTCCGTCTATGGATCGGTACCTAGATGGCGGACAGGCATCTGGGCTGTCCTTAGTACAAGCTGGATTATCGAGCAAACTGAATGCAACTTTTGGGCCTCGTCCTGTAGATTTTCCTGAGATCCTATGGACAAAAATTGAATAGTTTGATTGATTCAACATATTCAGAAGTGGTTAATTTCCATTTTAGATGAAAAAGACTTGTGGAATTCCATGTTATGCAAAATTATAATATAATTTTCTGAGTAATGAAAGTTTAAAACTGGAACCTTGTAATAGTGAAAACAGCAGTGAAGTTAAAGAATTAAAACAAGAAGGAAAGAGAGAGATAATTTCATTCAGTTACAACCATTGATGTTTCTTTACGCAAAACAGAAAAATTTATAAAGAAGGAAAAAAACTCATTTAGAGTAAATAAATTTAGCGTATGACATATGTCAACATGCTAAAAATGCTTCTTCATATCTTGCTTAGGACTTGATTTCTGAACTTCCTGTTTCTACCTACATGAAATTTATCGGCAAAAATATGTGACATTTCTTTCTGGTTTAGTGCATGCGATAGATCTACTTACGAACTAAATTGTTTGGTAACTTGTTCCATCACGTGTCCATATTCAGCTAACTTGGTTGCTTCTTTAGATGTTTTCTGTGCTTGACGGTAGCGATATGTTGGACTATCACGTAGCATCAGAGGCATTTTCTTCTCGATTTCAATCTTTTTGGCATTGGCTTCTTTTCCTTTCTGAACAGCTGTTGAGAGCTGGTTGTCATCAGGAACAGGTCCACTCCATCCTGGTGGGATATTATCTGAAAAATGCAAGGAAACGTATGTTAGTCTGTTCTTCGAGCAACATTGCAGAAAATTTTTCTTGGCAATGTATCGACTTATTGTTCTCCTTTTCCAGCTGTATCTATTGGCAGTATGGATCGCTACTTACTTATACCTGCATGTCTGGACTCAAAATATATGTATCTCCATTGATTAGTGTTCCCATTAAAAAATAACCCTTTTACGATCCCAGACCAAAATACTTCATTTCCGTGTTCAAACTGTGATGTGAATTTGCATAAAAAAATGTCCTTCTTTTCTCCTTCTCCTTACACAATAAGAATAAGAATCTACCATAGGCTACATTGTTGCATCAATATCCTGATGAATAGGAAACTTCAGTCAGTATGATAAATACATTTTGCGCTAAAATGTTATTGATTATAGTTGTTCAATAGTTATCAATTGAGGTTCAAAAATCAGCCAGCAGATGTTTTAGGACCATGGAACCCTAATTTTCTTTCACGATACTTCGATTCATCTATTGCTCTTGGCTATTTACATAAAAATACTAATTTGGTCCTCTTACGACATATGGAGAAATCCTCAGTTAAGTATTTACCTCTTAAAGGGAATTGAAGTTGCATTAAAGTCTTGAGGGAAGAATTGGTGGGAACTGGTCCTGGTCCTGGTGTCGGAGTGGGAACCACATCGTCATCAACTGAATAGAGTATTGTTATTAATAGAGCTGATAAGAAAATAGTTCTGCAAAATAAGCACAGAAAAATTGAATATTTTTGAAGAATAAAACAAGAAAAAGGAGGCTAATTCTTATGTTGTTTGAGAGACTGGGCGCAACAGTGAGACCCATGCAAGAGAATGTATAAATAAAGTAATTAAATGTGACTTCCCCTTCCCCCTCCAAATTTTCTAAAATTTTCTCAATTTCATTGTTTTAATTTTTAAAATAACAGAAATACCTAGTATGAAGTCAAATTATTAGAGAGTCTACATTGATCTTTACTTGAAGATAGAAAAAACCTGATTATGCTGCAATAATTTTTTCCTTCTCACATGAAATAATTAAATGAAGCTAACACAACGAGTTGGTCCAGGACAAAAAGAGTATTCATTTTATGCTTTTACTTTGTGCTTTGATTTGCGCTCTTTTAGTACATTGTCCAGCAGCCTGATTGTTGAAATTTTTTGTTTGTCGGGACAATATAGATGACATAGGTTAAAGGCAGAACGTGATTGGTCGGTTATGTCTTCTCGCTGCTTTGTCGTGCCTATGTCGGGTTGAACTCACGACAAGCTAACGGCACCTCTCAAATTTCCGACAGCATGTCGTCCATTCCACCTGACAAAGGCACGACAAAGCAGCGATAGGACATAGCCGACCAATCACACTCCGCCTTTTAACCTATGTCATCTATGTCGTCCCGACAAACAAAAAATTTCAACAATCAGGCTGCAGTACTTAAGTATTTAAAAAAAACATTTATATTGAGCTTTTCCACTCTTTTATGTAAAAGTTCAATTGTAAATGTAGACTGCATTTACGTTGCGATGCAATACGGCAAAAAGCAAAAAATCTCTATGTAAAGCATTTCGATTGCTGTTGAGTATAAAAGAAGAGTTCAACTGACTTAGGTATACAAATTTACATTCATACTTTTAATTTTGGAGGAGGATTAGTAATACTTAAAAGACCGGGAGTAGGACACATTATTAGGGAGAAAAAGTGAAAGAAGTGGATGAGTATACTTAACGGTACTAACAGGATTGTTGTACAGACACAGCATTGAAATTGTCTTATTTGCTTTCGATATGCTCGGTGTGGATTTGCCATAAAAACATAAGGCGGCCCTGGTTGGGCTGACGCCAGTGGCGTACGCTCTGATGCGTACATTCTGGTAGCACTTCTTTAAACAAGTCCACCTGCAAAATTAGAAGAATGGTAGGTAACTTAAGTAAAGAGTAGAATATTTGAAATTTTTCGATGAAATAATTTTTTAGAGATCTATAGGTACCTAGTGATTTACTTCTTCGGAAAAAGAAGCAACACATGAAACTGAAATGAATACTACACCAGTTGCTGAGAGATGGATGAGCAAGTAAATATAATGAGAGAGGTTTCATTACTGTGTCTCAAGAGACCACAGCAGTCCAGCTCTGTCATCTTTGTTGTGTACGTGTTAAATGTATGGCTTATTCGTCAAGGATTGTAAACTCGATGACGGTACTTTTAGTACCTTTCAGAGTTTCATATGCCCAAACTTATGTGTAAGTACTTAGTGATTAAGTCCATAGATCCTGAATTTATCACATAATGATAATACGAAAGTTTCAAATGAGATGATAGGACAAATTATACAGAGAAAAATAGATAAGTACCTACACTAAGTAAAAAGAAAAGTACAGTTTAATAATATCACAGTGGTTAGGTGGGTACGTAAAATTATAAAACAATGGTAATGGAAGATATCATAATATGCATTAGGTAATACTTAATTATTAAAAGCGAAAATGATATCATCACGTACCGATCATACTTAAATCTTGGAAATCTATTCTATGATGGAATAAAGATTAGAAAGTTGCTTAACCTAAAATTTTGCACGCTCGGTTTGTTTACAACACATGACCTGAAAACAAAGGTTGAGTGCTTTATCCAATCAAAAGCATTCGCGCTAAAAACGAAAGTTGAGTGCTTTATCCAATCAAAAGCATTCGCGCTAAAAATTGTCTGACCAATGAAAAACGCGCGGGAATTTGATCTTTTTTTAAATTAGCGCAACCGATCTCTGGGAGCGAAAAAAGAGATTGGTTTGTATGATCTTATCGACTGGGCGTTTTCTGGCAGTAAGAAGTTGCGGCACATTAAAAATATTTAAAATCAAAATTAATAGCTCTCTAACTTATTGCTTTTCGCTTCTTTCTTTGCAAATAATTTGGATCGTTGCGATTAGACCTATTGGTAGGTGTCGTCGATCTAAAGTTCGCTTTCGATTTCGCTGCTAATGCAACAAACACACCGGAGAGCACGAATAGTTAGCGAATCGAAAAACACACATTGATCTTCCTAAACTTTTTTGAACTAATACGTTAATTACTGGCAGCTATCGTCTACTTGAGGTCCGCCTTCAATTTTGGCGCATATGCAACAAAAATACCGGAGAGCACGAATTATCTAATCAAACAACACACATTGATTTCCATAAACTTTTTTGAACCAATAGATCACAAGTAAACTACTGGCAGCTATCGTCCACTTAAGGTCCGCCTTCAATTTTGACGCATAGGCAACCAACGCACCGGGAAGTGCGAATAGTTATTTATTCGAAAAATACGTTTATTTGCTCCCTAAGCTCCAGGATAAACGATGTTGTAAGCCCATCGGTAGGTATCCTCCTTAATGACCTTACTTACTTGTTATCTTACCTCTGGGACTATGTATCTCTTGACGCTCTACTATAGCATAAGTAATGTTTAATTACTCAAACTAACAAAATCGCAATCTAGAAAGTATCCGCTTGCGTATATTTTTTTCCAATCTCTGTAATTATACGTTACTTCTGTACACATTTAGAAGAGTGTAAGGAAAATCTTACCCTTTCAAAATCTCAGAACCATCGCTTGTTTTGAAATTTTTCATGGGCCAGTTTAATTTTTTTTTTATTTTTTTATTATTATTTTATTTGTTTTTAAATCTCATTTTGAACGTAAGAGAACTTGAGAAGAAAGTGGGTGTACATTTTGACGACCCAAAGTAAATGATTGAATCAGTACTGGCATGGGCAAAATAAAATTTGGACACAAAATAAACTTACTGCGATGAGAGAAAGTGAGAAAAGAGAAGGTGAAAAACAGCAACTTGAAAATTTATTCGATAGCATGAAAATGTGTAATGGAAATTATTGGGTACAGAGTTTTGGCAATGGATGACGGTCTCAGTATGCACGTGATTGCGAGATAGTAATCAAAACTTTCATCCCTTTCAGAAACGAACTTCTAAAAAGTAGAATTAAAAGTGCGGCTGAAGAACCGCAAGAGTAATTTCTTTAGAGCTTTGAGGATCTCTTAATTAAAGCAAAAAATAGGATTCGAAAACGGAGAACGAAAAAAAAAACGAAATTTTACTTTTCCCTGAAGATTTATTACCTAAACATCAGTAAAATTTTGCACTTGAAGGGGGGGGGGGGCATAGCCCCTCCACGGCCCGCCAGGCCCCACTTATTTCAGGTCTTTTTTCCTGTAGTCACACACATTGAGATTAATAGCTAATGTGGTCTTTCGCGCAAGACCATTCAAGTGCGGCGCTGTTTTCGCCAAATCTGAACCGGTTTTCCTTTTTTTTCAAAGACAGGACATTCTTCGTTTGTTTCATTGCGTTGTTTGTTTACTTTTCCCCTCATTAAAGGCTGGCACAACTTCAGTCTCTGCAGTTATGTAAAATTTGCAGGCGCGGCCAGGTTGATGACATACCGGGATTAATTTCTCTAGAGAATGGCGATATCTCAACCTCCGCCACCCTTTTCTGGAAGGATAATTTATAATTTTAATGGTTATTTTTACACTTGTATACATTTTCCGTGACCTTGAGTGGCAAAACTGACCATCTAATCAGCATTCACTCTTAGCAAGTCTTTGAACTTAAGCACTGCTTTTGTCCCTGACAAAGTAAATTATTCCTTGAATTTTCGGCGATCTCCAACAAGTGCATGAACAAAGTAGATTCATAATAATATGGGTAAATACCATTATAATGTAAATATTGCAATTTCATGTGTTTGAAGGACAATAAATACTAAATTAAATCAATAAAAGAAAAAAAGAAGAAAAAAAAAGAAGAAGAAAAAAGAAGAAGAGGAAAAAAAGGTGACGGCCCACGGTGAAAGGGACTTACTTTGGAGAAATCGAGATTTGAGATAATTAGGATTTTAGAGGAAAGATCAACAAACATTTTGGGGCGAAAACCCCATAAAAGTCAAACCAAATGGACGTTATGACAGCTTGAAGCATTTACGAATCAAAGAGCTTACATTAAGCCTCACAAAACAATAATATATCGATGGCCAAAAAGCTAAACAACGTATCTCCATTGTGATGTTTCAAAATTTCCGCTCCTATCTTACTTTCTCGAAAAGAAGAAATATTCTACTGACGGAGAAGGAAAATCAAAGAAGTTATTAAAAAAATTACATTGAATAGTTTTTCAAAGAGGTATAATATAGTATGGCAGGAAGTCTGCAAGGTCGCAAACGGAAATACGTGGTTTTGCATTTTGCCATCGATATACAACCTCGATTATTTTTCAATTTCAACTTGATTTTTGCTGTAGTGCTTCCTCGCGGAGGAACTCAGCATTTCATAATCCGGAGTAACATTAATGTTACGTAAATCGCGCTCTGCGTTATTTTAGCAAGACAAGGATTAGTGCGTTATGTTATGCCGATTGATGGCAATCCTTAATGAGATATTTTCACGGGCCCGGGAAACTTCAAAAAGGCGGACAAGAGCGCGAGCATTCGTACGGTTTCATGAGGGCTACGACACTGATCGATCACGCATGTTCTGCTATTGGGGGCTCCGACCCGTTGAGATCTTCGCTCTGTTAGTCGTTAATTTGTCGCTCAGGAATGCGAGGCTTACGTAAGTTTGCAAAGACCAAAAAGAGCAATACTCCGGCAAGAGCCAGGAGGAGCTTTGAAGTTTCTGGAAAAACCTCGAAAAGCAGAGGAAAAACCTCAAAAAGCAGAGGAAAAACTCGCGACTATTTTTGTACTTAGAGCCGTCCAAATAATACCTATGAGAAAAAAAACGACTGCTTGGAAAGACGAGCTTAGAAAAAGACGGGTGGAAGGTTCGAAGACTCTTTTTTTTAAAAATTCTACACTGAAAAAAAAATCTCGGTGTATTTACTAAGAAAAGGGCAAAATTACCAAGAATTCAGGGTTCTATTTGATCCCAGTTTTTTCTTGGTAAAATTACCATTTATGGAATTCGTAAGTTTACCGAGAAATCTCGGTGAAATTATTGAACTTTCTCGGTAATTTTACTGGACCTTGGTAAAAACGCCAATATTTTTTATCGACTGTGGTAGAATTACCGAGATAAAATGGCAAAGTTACCGGGAATTGATTATTAATAAAAGTGGTATTCTTACCTGAAAAAAAACAGTAAAAATACCGGTTTTTAGGTAAGCTTACCAGTCTATCTTGGTAAAATTACCAAAAATTGGTAAAAAATGTGAGATGGTAAAGGTACCAACGGACCGTGGTAAAAACGCCGAGAATTTTTTTTTCAGTATAAGGGTACATTTTTCGACCGCCCCTTTTAAGGAATTAGTTTCTTTGCAGCTTCATTACCTACTGTATAACTCGGCATTGGGCTTTTTGCTTGCTAAAATTGTCATCACAGCGGATTCTTATATTATAGACGGATGGGGTTGAAACTCGGCGTGCTACATTGACCAAGTTTAGCAGAAAGGAACCAAGCCACATCAGCTATGGCCAAATTTAATCGTGCAATTTAGTTTTTTTACAATAGAGCGCTTGTGCGGATTTCTTTGCAAATTTTAAGGAATTTACCTCGTACTATGCAGAAAAATTGGCATAAAAATCCGCATTACCGTTTTCATGTAAAAAATGCAATTGCTCAAGTTAATTAGGCAATAGCTGATGTGGATTGGTTCCTTTCTGCTTAACGCGGTCCACATAAGGCCGAATGTATGATTTTTCCGTCCGCGATTTGCAAGAATTTGTCACCCCAGGTTTTGGAAAATATTACCTACTTTTTTTGGCCCCCTCAAACTCCCAGACCCCTCGATTCAACCTGTATGCTATCATACTTTCTCTAAGATAGGTGAAAGATGTGTATGTATGCATGTGTATATATACATACTTTTGAAAAATTGAACTTCAACAGATTTTTTGGAATGAGCCTGCCTTTGTACAGTTTCACACTTGTAAATCATTTCATTAAAATCATTTTTGATTCTCTTCGTGTTTCCGGCATCCTGATCTTGATTCTTAAGAGGAGGGTACCATTGATTACACGATAGTCTTCTTATTAATAATGATTTAAAAGTCTCAAAAGATTACAGCAGAATGTAATGACTTCACTCCTAAAATTTGATTTATAATTAGTAAGTATGCCCTTGATCAAAGATACATTTTCAGGGACATCCATAAATACCGCAAGGGCCAAGCTGCGTACCGATGGCTAACTTCTGAAAGCACATACCTCAACTTGCGACGTTGCGAAGTTTCTGACACACTTCATTTAAGAATATAAAAACTAAGTTGAGTACATAATTTCTTTAATATTTTAGTAAATTTTCGCCCTTGTGGTAGGAATTATTTACCGAAAAACCCCAATGACGTTCAGTCGTTTTTCCTTTTACATATATAAAACGAGTCCGGAAATTTTGAGACGCTGCATCGAAGATCGTGCCTCCAGAGCTTGGTCAGCGCGGAGCGATGGCATAACAAAACACCTCGCGGTCAAGTGCGTCGGATGGGAACATGCCAAGCTGCACAGCGCGGTTACGTAACCAGCTAGGTGCAAGGATGCATTTCGGTCGCTTTAAAGCTAGGCGGAGATGCAAATGAATTAGCAACCTGACGAACCTTAAAGGAACACTCACAGAATTGAGTCACACGACAAAATCGTCAATTCATACGTAACAAACAAACAAAACGAAGAAAAACAAACATAAAACCTTGGGTTTAGGTTACAAAACCAACGTCCTCGCGAGGGTTCGATGTAAACAAGCCGTTACGGACATTACGTAACACGTAAGGAATCAACGTACCTTTCAAAGGCAAAATACCTTCAAATTAACGCAGATTTTCGGGCCAAACGCGTCTTCGTCCACGCAGCGTGTAGCGAGTCGGATGGTTACGTAACGGCGTTGCACTAGTCTCTAATATCGAGGTGCGTCGGACTTCTTTCCCACTGAACAAATACTTCGATAACGGAGGCGAATTTCAGGTACTCACCTCATAAGATGACGGCAGGTGACAGCGGGGTCAGACTGTCAACACAATAACACTGCACATCATTTTCAGAATCGCGAATGTTTGAGTTGGAGCGCTGGTTCGGGAGCCGGCTGTTCGCTGGAGAAACTGAGGAGTAGGACGAGAGAATGGCTGGAGAGCCAAGCGGGGGGCTGGGCAGGACGAGGGGGGCCGGTCGAGAGAGGGGGCAGTGGCGCTACCGCTATGTGGCGGTATAGCGCGGTCCGCGAACTAGCCGGCCCCGTGGTTGCGAGGGGCTTCATCCCCTCCCGGTGGGTCGTCTTTGAGGGGTAGGATTCTGGAGTGCGAGTCAGGTCCAGGTCTGGATTTACCTGGAAATCCGGAGCCCAAGGGATGTGTTCCGTCCTATACGGATTGAAGTCCCTGCTTTCGAAGGCAGTGACCGTAAAAGATACACGCGCGGCACTACCAGGGTGGCAAAATTTCATGAAAAATAAAATGTTGAAATTTCACGTGAAATTTCAGAAATTGATGAAAAATATTGAAAAATACAAATTCCTTTCATGTCTCGAAAAATTTGAAAATTGTGACTTTCTCATATTTTTGTGTGTTTGAGTGCGGGTTGCACACTCTAGGCTAGAGTGTAGGAGCTAGAGTCTCTAGCTCCTGGAAAATATGATACAATTCACTGCCTCGTGAAATTTCATGAAATATTTCACTAAAATTTCCAATTTGTTTCATGCCCATGCCACCCTGAGCACTATGGTGAAGAGGAGCCGTTCATGAAAAACGCAACGCTCTAGAGGGAGAGGGAGGTCTGTGCATGCGTTATGCGTGCGTTACAGGGGGAGGGGGAGGTCCAGGGCTGTCTGGTCACGCTAAAATGGGCGCGTAACGCCAATTTTTCGAAAATCTAGGATAAAAAATCGAAGTGGGGAGGTAATTTTTCATTCGATATTCATCACATACAGTTAATTTGAAGGATGGAACAAAGCGTTGCGTATTTTTTAAATTGCGAGATGCAGACCTGTGTGCGGGGCGCGTTACAAGAAAAAGGCGGGGGAAGTAAATAATGGTCAAATTTTAAGCGTCGCATGTTCTATGAACGACCCCAAAGCGCAAAACACGTACCTCGATCACGACATTTTAAAATATATATTCTTAATTTATTTTTTAAAGCTAATTTAAAAGAGCATTATTGTTCGAGATTTCTACTGCATATTCTGAACAGGTTGAAAAAAATCGGAAAGAAATTCGAACCGATAATGTCTTTCTACGTTCCTTGGAAAAACATAAACTTTGACGAGATTTCGGAGAGATTTGCAATGTTAATATGCAAATTGAGATACGTGGTTTGCGACGAATTTCACGGAGGAGGGGGGCGGTTAACAATTGGTAATAGTTGACTTCCAAGTGGCAACTTTCAGAAAAAAAAAAAAAAATAAAGCTGCATGACTGAGGAAAAAAAAATTCATCCTAATTTTTGCTTTCCTCCACTAGGCGCTGATCGCTGCAGGTAGCGATCGCATTGTCAAACTATTGCACTTTTTTGGAAGGTAGTTGACAGGAAGCAATTTTTGGAAAGCTCCTGAAATATTGCGATTTTTAGTTGCGCTTTCATGTTTCCTATTCCCCCACTTTAAGGCGTTGAAATGATTACAACATCCATTGGATAAAATAATGCGCTTTCTAGACTGGTTGCGTACGGCCTATCTACTCTATTCCAGGCACAGTATTCATCATCAATGGTCGTGATGGCAGATTGGAAAAATGTTAACTCAGAATTTTGATTTCACGGCAATACATTATTGAAATGAAGTAAGACTTGGTAGCAACTTTTACTTTGAAAAATGCTCCTAGCATTCATTTCTGCTTCAATCGATTTTCAATTAGGGAATAACCACTATTTGCCTTATTTCCTCCTAGCAAGCGGAATTGAGTTTAATCATAAGCAAGGAATTTAGAACACTCTAATTAAAACTGTAAAATTTGGAAGAAATGTACTGTTTTACACTATTGCAGTCATGTTGTCTTGTGGCGTTGTAAGCTCCAGACTAACGAGAAACGTTCTTTTATTGACTTCAACTATGGGTCTCTTTTTTCCCGGTAAAAAACGCATTGTTGAACCGCTTAAAGCTAGGAAATGCGTCTCTTGCTGATTAGTTTTTTTTTTTTTTTTTTTTTTTTTTTTTTTTAAATGGGTACAACTTTTATCAAGGCAATCCTTATGCCATGCAACAGCCCTACTCTCTATGCTTGATTTTTATGCGAAATTTTCCTTCAGGTAACAGCATTCCTAAAGGCTAATTTACTACTTAAAATTTTAAATAAAAGGATAAAACCTGATAAAGGTTTGAAATTATGATTTAATAAAATACTTTTTTAACAAGAGACAAGAACACTTTTAGCGAATGTTAATTACCTACAGAAATTCATAAAAAAATAAAGTTCAGCAGTGCAACATACGAACTGTTACAGAAAACGGAATGCACAAAAAATTTGAGACTTTGTTTAGAACAAAACGACAGAAATCACACAATTATTCGATGAAAGCGAGATGGATGATTTATAATACAACACAGGTAAACAGCCCTTATCTTCACTTAGGAGGTTAGCAGAAAAATCAGCCTCTTACATTGTGATGTTTGGAGGGTGACATCTTGAATTTTACTTCATGAATGAGCACAACTGGAGAGGTGATACGACAAAAAATCCTCCTTTGGGGTCCATATTAGGGACTAAGCTATTCTCAGTGGTTAACTTTAGCGTACTATCCTCCACTATTTCGATGGCTTAATGCGGAAAAATTCGCACCACAATGGGTCACGTGCACACATTTCTTTCAATTCACCCTCATGGTCTATGAGATAAAAGAGTAAGTAAGGAATTTTTTTCAAATATTTTCTCGCAACAAACATCAGTGCTATCAGGCGGCAATGTTGTTGACTTTTATTGTAACAACAGAATCGAGCAGCGCAGGTTATCTTGAACTTTTAATCATGCTGGCTTGCAATTCTTATGCGTGTCATGTTGTTCCAGGCTGCTGAAATACATACTGCTGTTTTACACACCAGATGAGTTCTAATATGTGTGCCTGGATCTGACCTCTCATTCAACAATTCAAATGGCTGCCCTAAAATACCCAGACTTGCAGAACACCGACTGCACCCTGCATTATTTTTATCACTTTATGCAGGAAAATGGTCACAATCGATATTTCTGATTTCATCAACCTCCGTTTATATTTCAAAAATTCGCCGCACCTCCGTAAATACGAAGAACATTTTTTTAAGAGCTGAGGAATCATGAGGATTGAGGAGCGAAATAATCCATGAGCAGAATTGCAAATAATCTGATGGCAACTGCTAATAGTTGGCATTAGATTCGTGATTTGTGACGCATTGTTCAGTGGAGTTCAGCCTATGAAAATCGTAAATTTAAACTTCAAATTTCGAGTTTTAATTATGATACTTGACACTCAACTTTAAACTTTTTAACGATAAAAATCGTTACTTTTATAATAAATGCATTAAAAACTAATTTCTCTCTCACTCATCCCAAGATCATGCAAAAGACCCATTGTGGCGTTAAAAAATCTCCTATTATGTATCTTTATTTTTTCCAGAATAAACTCGTTTTAAATTTTTTTTGCAATTAAATATAATTTTTCGAAAGAGAATTCATTAATGTTCAATACATGAAACATTATCATGGAAAAATTCGGTAGAAACTGTTGGTTAGTTTTCTGGTAAGAAAAATGGAACAAGAGCGAAGATGTACACCTCACAATCTGATGCACATTTTTGGACTTTAATCGGAAAATTTGGTTCACAAAGAAAAAAAAGTTGTCTTTTCGAAAATGCAACTAAAGAAAGTAGCATATTTTTATGCTTACATAGAGCCTTGCTAGTTAAAAATCTTGCTGATTCAAAAATCACAGTAAATAAAGAAAAGGATACTCCATTCCTGTGGGGGGCAAGGGGCCTCACAAAGTAAAAAAAAAAAATATAAAAAAATAGGTGTTCCATTTCAAATTTCCGGAAGCCTATTTTCTTTCTTTTTTATTCAGAGCTATCGAAAGTTAGATCTGTGTATTCAAAATCTGTCTTAATAATTAGAGAGACACCATAGGTTTCTCTGAAGATTTGAAAAGCAGCAATATCATTCTTGGCGACTCAAAGCAGTTGATAAATCAGTTTAAATATGATATTTGGCTGCAATCATACCTTACATGTTGGTACAAGAAGCACACAACAATAACGCAAACTCAAGTATCTTTTTTCAGATATAAAAACTGTTCTCACATGAGTATGTGATTTCCAATATAGTAGTTTTCATGATCATTCTCTACAAATAGGTCCACATACTTTCATGCCATGTATTAGTGCACAGTGTACAGTCTTTAAACTTTTAGCAGTAGAGATTCTTTCATTTAAAATTGTATTTTCTTCTCCTGCCTTTTTTGAGTCTAATTCCTGGACTTTTATAATTCGAAAACTAGGCAGGGCTCAAAACCCTGCGAGTTGAGAAAAATCATACTCCTGTCACATTTCATAACAGCAGGAATTTGCTAATGTACTTCTCTCTTCATGGCACGGTGTGGAGACTCAAATAAGATAACCCACTCACATTACTCAAAAAATTAGACATGGATTTTCCATGCTAGGACAAAGATTCGAGATAATTATAGGAGCTCAAAAAAACTGAGAGCTAGTAAATGCGTAAAGACAAGGGCTTGTCTATTAAAATGCATATTGATCGGGAAAGCTAGTAATACAATTTGGAATGAAACATTTAGACTTAGCTGATACAGGAATCACTAGAATGTTGGATCAGTGAAAATAAACTTTTTCTTCTCCTCATCGTCTTTTAGCCAAACACTGGGCAGTCTACCAGCAGCGCTGATTGCATCTGATTTTGTGACTAGAGGTTCAAAAGTGAAGTAGAACTCATACTCTGCGGTTATCTAAAAAAAACAAATAAATCAATTGATGAGCTATGGATAGGAGCTTTTCCATTAACCAAAACTATTCCAGATACACATGACTTTCAAGATGAGAAAAATCATAATATCATTTTAGACACGTCAAGATTAGGTTGGAATGGAGATTTGTCATTAACTTTGTCTGCAAGTACTGCATTCTGTTTTCTGTGCCTTTAATGGACATCATATTGGACAAACTAGGGGCATCTTCTGGCTGATGGACAGGCAGTAAATTATTCGCTCAGTTAATCTCGATTATTAGCCTGCTGGGCTTATGCATCCAAAATTAAACAATATTTAATAGACTTTTTATGGACTTTTATCAAGTTTTCTCAGAAAAAAGGGCCGTTCAGGGCCCCTTTTTTTAACTCATCAAAAAATGGTCTGATACTCTCTTTTACTGCTTAAAGAGTTACGTATTTTACAAACAGCCCCTTCCAGCAGAGATGACAAAGTAAAAATATGTTCATGGCTACTGGAGCTCCTTTAATTTTATTTTAAAGACGATTATTTTCAGACATCAAAGAGGAAGTAGAGTTGAGTTTGTTGTCATAGAAATCAATTCTTGATCTTTCGGGATGCTTCATGACTCATCAAGATGATGGAATCAAATGTAAATACACCAAAATCTCCATCTCCGATAATGTAACGCAGTAAATAAATCGAGACAATGAGTTTTAAAAATATATCTTTTACCTCTTAGACAGTTCTTTGAGAAAGATACTAAAATAAACAAGGCAGCAATAGTCATTAAACAGAAACAACAGAAATTGATTGGTAAAATTTATACTTACATGGCCTAGCATTATCTCTGAATCCATTTGTTGGTAACAGAGTTTCAAGGGTCGAGTGGGATGATGGACATGTTGGTGCAAATTCTGATACAGCGACATAAGATGTTCCACTTCCTCTGGCGTATCGTACGGGGTGTCAACTCTTGAACTCCAAAATTGTGGGTGTTTTCTACTCTTACACATGAAATGCCTCAATCCGTAAATGCCAAGTTCTGAGGCTGAAATCGGCTTGAGAGCTAGAGCATCGTTGATATCTTTCAGACTACCTTTCCGCCTTAAAGTCTGAAATCAGCAAAGATTTACACTTGCTTAGTACTGTTATGTGCTGTCTTGTAAAATATTCAAGCAAAAAAAAAAAGAAAGAAACGAAGATGAAAATATAATTTCAAAAAATAATAATGAATAAAAACATGTGAAAAGTTATTCAAGATACACTTATCTGTGAAGTTACGAACTTAAAGTATTAAAAATGATAGGCCTTATCTACAAAACGAGCAACAGTTTACAGAACTTTGTGCATCTTTTTTCACCCTTTTGATGTGCGCGAGGGTAGACAAATTCCGCCAGAATTCCGGAAACTCTGCGCAAATGAACACAGCCATGGTGTCCATATCAGCTTACCGCCGAGCTTTGCAGAAATTGAAGAAGTTCTGAAGTGCAAGTGTAAAGATCCTGATAAAGTACAACCAAGCTATACACAGGCAACCCAAGACGGAAACAGTAGAACGAAAACAAGGAAACAGCAGACATAAGGCTAAAATACATAAAATTATTCATCACTATGTATCACCAAGCTGGTTTCCTTTGATTTTAATTTCTTCTTTATTTTTTGAACTTTGCAGCTTTTAGCGGTTAATAATGGTGTCGTGAGACACAGAAACGTCCTAAATAATTTTATGTGTTTTAGCCTTGTTTCTGCTATTTCCTTGTTTTTGTTCTATTGATCACGACAAACACTTTTGCCTGGATATAGGTGTTGTGGTAATGTTAAAACGAGGCTAAAAACTGGGTAAAGCTCTTTTGAAAGTAAGATTGAACCTGACAATTGATGAAAAGAAAATGTGTTTAAATCACTCACCTCAACTATTTTTTGTTTAGCTGTGGATAAAGTGTAGAATAAGTCGTGATCTACAGTCAACAACATAAGGCAAGCTTGACAATCTTCTGATAAATATGAAACATGACAATGAAGGAATCCACTGGAATACAATAAAAATACACATTTAATTGGGCAGCAGGTTTTTTCTCTCCCTTAAGAAGGAAAAGAGAATATCCTTTGAAATTTTCTTCAACTAAGAAGAAATTTAAACATTATTTTTCTTTTTCAAGTTTCTATCACACTTTACAAATTAGAAAAGTGTTTGAGATAAAGGAACTTTCTTCATACTAGGAAAGAAAATTATTCCAATTATAAGAATAAAGAAATATAGATCTTACATCGTAGAGACTATTTTTGATAATTTTATGAAAATGATACGTGGTTAGCAGACACAAGAATATTTTAAATCTTCTGCATTGGACTATTCTCATTACAGTATGTTGGAGTTTTTCAGCCAACGTGCGTTAAAAATTCAGCATAAAGCTGTTAGCTATTAGTCAAAGCTAACGCACGTTGGCTAATCAACTCCAACATGCTGTCTTACGACTTGTGCGTCCACCGCAGTCATTTTGTGTATTCTCATTGCGTTGACCAAAAATTAGGAGAAAATCCATACGGCAAAGAAGTTAGAATGGAACAAGAGAAGTAGGGTGTTGCTTTTCTGAAATTATTGCACTCTAATAGAAAATGCTACCTCTGAGGAGGTTCCTTCACATGTAAAAATAACTAATGGGTTTCAAAAAACTGAAAAATTTAATTTTACTTTATTTCCTAACTAGTCTGAGAGGTAATTACTTTTCTAAGATCTTTTACGCACAATGACCTTTTAAAAGGAGACTTTCTACGAGCCAATTTTGAGAAAAACAGGGGTGAAATGTGAATTTTTCACCTTTGCAACAAGCAATATTTAGTAGAAATGTTGCAATATCTTATTGGTGATTAAGATCTTTTGTTTCCTTGTAGCCCGCGAAGATGAGACGGACAGAAAGAATCAAATTCTTCCAAACTAGGCGTGCAGTGCAGCATCCACACAAATAGCATCACTTCTATATTTCCATTAAAAATTACGTGTAAAAGGGCCGAAAAATTGGGAGGATAAGGGACTTTGGCAGCAATGTGTCGCAGAGCGCTAGAGAGCGCTTTAAAAAAGGCTTTTATACATTTAATAGTTATGAAAATAGAGTAGTAAAATGTACAATTTGAAAAAAAAGGAAAGAGGAAATAGAACACTGACCTTGGATTGAATAAAGGAAGACAAATTGGAGTCCAGCTTTCGGCTGTTTTAAACGATTCCGAAGAATTGACTAAATTAAATAACAAGTGTAAATCTGACGGTTGTAATTCATACTTTTTCATTCTAACCAAGGTTATAAGTTGATTATTTGCAATCAGTAGAGCAAAAACAAGATTCTGAAAATAGAGACAAAATAATATCAGACAGTATTTAGGAAAATAAGAAGAAAGTAAGACATTTTTTCACAATTTCTTTATAACATTTTTTCAACTTTATTTGTTATATCATTAACAAAACGCAGCCTCCAGTTGCGGTGCCAAGTTTGTGATAGACTGATGAATCTACCCGCAGGAAATGGATTGTTTTGATGCCGTTTGATCTAATGGCAATATATTGAATGATGTGGCAACTAAATCAACCTTTAACCCAATTGCCCTTTTCAAGCAGGGTTTAATTGGAGAAAATTTAAGAATTATTTTTTTGTGAACGGTCACAATGGTGGATTCTCATTAAGAAAAGGGTGTATAGGTATGTGAATAGACAAATTTGCATGGCTTACAGAGGAGACATTCTTTCATAAAGATATTTTAGAGGCTATATTTAGAGGTATTTTAAAAAACCCTAAAAGTCCTAAAACCAATTGATATAAATTCGTAGTAAATCGAAAATGTCAATCAAAGAATTGAAAAAGTTTGGGAGGAGTCTTCTGTTTAAAATCGTCTTTATAATTTTAAATTTTGTGAATGATAACTGAAGAACGCGATAGGAATGCTCCTTATGGATAGTTTACAATTTTCAGGATGAGTAAAACATCAAAAGGGAAATAAAAGATTAATTCATAACTTACTTTAATTTTGGAACATGCTGATACGATAATATTGGATATATCATCCCTTGCTGTTGGCGCAAGAGGCAAAACGCGAACGGCACCTAAAAGGAAAGCGTAATCTGTTTCCATAAAAACTAATAACTGGTCAATCAAACGCTCAGATCCAGAAAGTAAGCGCCTTAGGTCATAATTGCATTTTTGTTCAAATATCTTTGTCAGTCGAGATAGTGTTACTACACTAATAACTTGGTTATATACATACCTGTGGACAGAGAACAGAGAAAAAAATGACCACAAATGAAATGTGTACAAAAATACGAAAAACAGCAATGAAAAATAAAGCATGGATTTTCAAAAATGTTGAAGAGTATGAAAAAATGTATGGTTTAGAAAGTAGGTACAGCAGTTAAAGAATGTGTAAAAGGTGGAAAGCATAGTTAGAATTAATTTTTTTAAGTTTCAAGCATATGGTTGTTAATTTTCAGGTATTTGCTACTGTAAAAATTGTTCACAGTTTTCAACTATTTAGGTAAATATTTTGAAAATACAAAAACTGAGAAAGGAAAAATCTCTGCACAGACAATTAAGTTAAGATTGAAAATTGAAAAATAGTTATAAGGGTCAATTCGCACAGAAAGCACGTTAGGCACATCAAAAAAGTCTGAAATTTACTTCTTTTTGCAAACTCTGCTTAGTTTTTAACATGCTTTTTCAAATTTACAGCGTCTACGGGCAGTTTTTCTTGGTGGTCGGCAGTTAGGTTTGTCGGGAGGGAGACCTAGCCTAAATGAACAAACAATCTTGGGAACTGTTATAAACTCTCCTTACGAAAGACTTTAATTGATTCAAAGCTTTGGCTTTTGCAAAATAAAGAAAGAAAAAGGAAGCAAACCCTTGAAAACTATGGAAATCATACAATGACAAAAAATATTGAACTTGTTTGTTTACTAAGGTTACTTCTCTGCCTATGCAAACCTGGTCGGCAGTGACTAAGAAAAACTGCCCGCACACACGGGCAACTTGAAAAGTGTGATACAAACTAGGCAGACAACACTATCAGCAGTGGATTTCAGACTTTTTTGATGTGCTCAACGTGATTTTCATGCGATTTTACCCACTGAGAGTACATTTATTTTGCTGCATTTCTTTACCGGAGAGGGAGGGAGGGATAAAAAAATCATAATTCCTGTTGCTACACAAATAAAAAAAATTTCTTTTAGTAGAGCTTTTGGGAACTTTTCGAAACCTCCTCTGTAATTTTTTTCCAAATACACAGTTTTTTCTCAGTATCATTCTATAAGTATTATTTCCCAGTATTTCTCCCATTATTATTCAGAGCAGGGAGTTTTTGGTTCTTTTTCAAGGTAGAACACAATTTCTTTTGTAAATAAGATGTCCTTACAAATTACCTGTTCATCATCCAATGCTTTGTCATTTCTTGAGCTGATGATAGGTAAGAGGAAAAATTCAAGCACCTTTGAGGCCTTGAAAAAAAGTCAAAATCAAGCACTTTCTGAGAACTTTTCAAGGCCGCGGGACTCATGAAAAGTAGAAAAAAATGCCTGATGCTGTTGAGGGACTGCTCCTTATGTAAGTATACTTATAATTTTCAAAACTTACACAGGTAATGCAGAATTTGATCAAGAAAATTGGGTTTAAAATTGGAAAATTACACCACCTGTATGGCCTGAGAATTTTTGAAACTGGCATTGGAAGTCTTAAAACTGGATTTTAATGCACTATATTTTGCCCCAATTTGTAAAATTAGATTTATGCCCTCGAAACAGTCATTATTGCCACTCTCCCAAGATTGTCATGTAAAATCCAAGCACTAGACCACGAACTATAGTTGAAAAGAGAGACAAATACTTACGTAAGTTGTGACAACAACTGAGTATCACTTTGTTGAGTTTTAGCAACAGAGACTAGAATTAAAGGACCTTTGGATAAAAATGTAAAGGTACAGCCATTGCATCGTATAGACTTCAAGACATCATTTGAGTCTTGAATAAAAGAAACTAGAACTTGCATAACTCCAAACAGGGTACTTAATTTATCTTCATTCCCGTACCTGAAAGTCAGAAATGTTGATTTAACTCATAAATAAGAATTAAGAGGTAAAAAGTATATTGCCTTGGTTTCTAAAGTTAATTTGAAGATTAGATAGGTGTGAATATGTGCTTTCAGTGCCATAATTGCTTCTAAAAGATATATTTTAACTGATGTATGTATTCAGAGAGAGAGCATTCCTTCACAAGGGTTGAGTTCCTTTTATGGCTTATGGTTATAATTTAATATTTCAAAAATAAATAAGTATTCGAGAATCTGATACAAATTTCAAATTCTATTGGTTCAAAATGAATAGGTTCTGGTGTAATGTTTTTTGATGCTAAAAACTTTGAAAATAAATTGAGCTGAATTAAATGAATTAAAAATGCTTAGGTAGATAATAGAATATTGAATAAAATTTTATAATTAGGTATGTTGTAACTTTTGAAAAAATTTCATTGGAGAAAATTTAGTTTCCTTTCATTGTGTGTGCTCCAAAGTTTCTGACCAAAATTTCTGCAGTCTTGATGGAAAAAATATAGGTAACCATTAAATTTGTAAGAGAGGCAAAAAATAAGAAAATGATTAGGGCGTCTTGACTCTCTGTCACCAAAACAATGACAATCATTTTCAATTTTGAACAATGAGCAAAAAAAATTATGAAATTACTTAAGTCTAAGTCAGGGCAAAGCATTTATTGATACCTCTAAAACCTAAAAAAGTGATTATTAATAACATCGGGTTTCAGAATTTTTCACATATTTGTATTATCTATTTAAAATCTGAACTTGCAATGGCTTGCAAAATATGTAACTGGGGACATTTGAAGAATATTTTTTGAACAAGCACTCACCGAGAATAGACAGGTTTGCCAGCAGAGCTCAAAACAAAGATATTGTATTTATACTTTTTTAATTCTTGTGCTACATTGCAGTCTTCATCTACATTTGATTCATCAACAAAGTCACTTCCTAAAACTAATTTCTCGAAGTCCTTTTCGTCCAGTCCATGCTTTGCCGGGCTTTCCTAGAAAAACAGTTCAAGATATCAACACATTGCAATAATAATCTGTTGTTGACTCCTTAGGTGACTGCAATGAACAATGGCTTCCTTATATTATTGAGGAAGAGAATTTACGACGAAGACAAAACCTTCCACCTGGAGGTACCCTTGAACCTAAGTGATGAGGATTTCCAAAGAACAAAAGCTCTGGTAAGTAATTACTACATAGGGTGTCCCAAAAGTACTGCCCCTTTTTCCGCAGAGGGCGAAAGAATGCAGATATCAAAATGCGGTTTAAGTGAGGTTATAGTCCTAGTAATTACCTATAAAACAAGACCAAGTTGAGCTCTGTAGCTTAAAATTTGACCAAGATACAGCATTTTGAAAATGACGTGTCAAGGTGGCGCCTACAGGATTTTCAACATTTTTTACGAAAGAAAAAACCAAGTTTAAGAATGAAACGGTTTTAAAAAGAAAAAGAAGCGGCCCCGTCACGTCAGTCAGAGTTCATCCCTCTGTCGTTTTGGAAGTTTCTTTCGCGATGAGTACCGAATTAAGAAAAGAACAACACCACGTTATTCGTTATTGTTTTCGTCGAGGAATGTCAGTAAAAGACACTTTTAATGAAATGAAAGGCGTGTATAAAGACGACTGTTTGGACAGAAGTAGCATTGGTCGTCGGTTTAAATCTTTTTCTGGCGGCCGCGAATCGGCGGAAAGTCCCGCGAAACCGGGCCGACCGTCTACCTCCATCACAGACGAATTAATCAGCACCGTTGCTGCTGTTGTTCGAGGAGACCGTCATTTATCCTTGCGTAAGTTTCAGGTGTTGCTTGACATCTCAAAAAGTTCATTGCACCGGATCTTAAAGGACCACCTGCAGATGCGTCGTGTCTGTTCGTCCTGGGGTTCGTCCGTAAAAAATGTTGAAAATCCTGTAGGCGCCACCTTGACACGTCATTTTCAAAATGCTGTATCTCGGTCAAAATTTAAGCTACAGAGCTCAACTTGGTCTTCTTTTATAGGTAATTACTAGGACTACAACCTCACACAAACCGCATTTTGATATCTGCTTTCTTTTGCCCTCTGGGAAAAAAGGGGCAGTACTTTTGGGACACCCTATGTATATTGAGAACAAGGCAAGCTTATGGGGGCAGTAAGAGCTTCTGTTTGTGTCTGTTCACTGGGAACATTTTGGTAGCATGCACGCCCTCTAACAGTATCTAATGCACGGTCCTGAACAATAACTTCGTGTGCAAAGAGTTAAGAAACGTAATCAGCGACTTTCGAAATTAATCATGTGTGAACCTGAAGAAGGATTTGTTAAAATATACTTCAGTTAACATACCGGTCTTTCTTCTTCTATGTAAGGCACGACAAATGAAGAGCTAGAACTTTGAGGCTCAGGGCTGTTCGGAAATTTGAAAGGGCCTTCCAACCCCCCTGGTGCGGAGGAAGACATTTCAGAATGGTGAGGGACGAAAAGTTATTCCAGTGCTAATTTTGTTCAATACGTTACAAAAATCATACTGCAGGAAATATCCAGGCTAGTTTGATGAAATTAAACACAAAAATATCACAAAAAAATGTCGAATATACCATTATTTACATCCAAAAACTCATGTTCAAGTTGAGTAACCTCAAAATATGTGTTGCTCGGTGAGTGCCAATGCTAGTAAACGTTGACCTGTTTACGTCGCGTTATCAGTTGACGCGACGCTACATGAGGATTTGTTTTTATCCGGTGTTTTTGCAATTCTCGTGTTTTTCTCGAAATTAACTGTGAATTTCGCGTGTGAGAAGTTGCGTTTAGTGTTCAGTTTCAAATGAAAGTGCGTTCATCACTTTTTAATTCATCGCGCGGTTTACTATAGTGTGTTTCTCTTACTAAAATGGGTGTTACTATGTAAGTACATACTCACATTCAGACCGTGTCTATGTCTTAACAATCAGATTCAAATGCCTGAAATTTCCTCTCAATGTTTTGAAATAGCTTGCATTAATCCTCAGATTCTCACTAATGCTAAATCAAGAGCACTTTGACGGTGTAAGTCCGCAACCACGTATCACGGTTTGCGGCGTCGCAGACTTTGTCATACTTTATTTTTTCAATGGAAAATTACTCAACAGCATTTCTTTAAAACTGCCGTGATTTTTCTTCTCCGTGCAAAGAAAATCCTGTAAAAACTTCAAGGAATGATGTCAAGTTGTTCTCCTTTCAAAAATAATGTTGAGGCGGATATTTTCAAACACGGCAAAGGAGATACGCGGTTAAGGACTTACGTTGTCGCTTTGTAAGTCTTCTTTCACAAATCTATAGCAGTTCTCTCACTTGGCGATTTTATCTGGCCGCGCATGTTTGAGTCGATATTTTTTCTCGAACAACTCTTCGTTGGTTAGATATAAGATGCCAAGAAGCTGTTCCTGTTCCTCTCATAAATCTAGAGATTCCTAATAAATGACCGTTATAGCATTTTTATAAAAGTCAACAACTCAATGAACATACCCTAGAAGTTAAGTGTGGGTCATTTTATAACCTACCAGCCAGGGAGTTGCCCGACTCGGATTTTGCTGATAAATTTTTGTACAGCATTTTCAGCGAACAAGGCATTTACACCCACACTCTCAAATATTTTATTTTTCAGGCATGTTCTACGTACTTTAGGGTTATTCTATAACGACTTGAGAAAGTTTAGTGTTGTCTGTCGTGAGAAATGATGCACATCTCCTTATTTTTATGTTTTATTTAAATCTGTTCTTCAAGTTGAGAAGGAGCATGTAATCTACGCGAAATGTTCTGAAGGTAGTTTTGTACTGATTTAGCTCTTGCACACGTTTTTTCTGTACTTTTTTTGTTTTACATTGTCGATTTCAGTTTTGGCCCCTGCTTCAAGGGTCCCTTGGAATGGTTTTTTCTATGGAAGGTTTACAACCTGTAATGAATGGACCCTTAAGTCCTGTCAGCATTCCAGGCCCCTGAGCACCAATCCGGCCCTGTTTTAGTTAGTAATTTTTAAACAGCCTTCGAAATCGGGATTGTTGTTTCGCATGAAGTTCAGAGGTTAAAATCAATGGAGAGACTGATCTTACGAACTAATGCAACACTTCTGTGCACATCTCCTTGTTTGATTTTTCTTTAAAAATTTTGTTCAAGTTCAGAGGGAGCGTGTAGGCTGCGCAAAACGTCCTGGATGTATTTCTGTTTAATCTTCGCTTTTATGGACATTTTTACCGTAATTTCTTAGTATTTTATTATTAACTTCAGTTAATATTTTTTTGTTCCATTTCTTAACACTTGTTAACGTTTCGCTCTCCTATAAAAATTAGCCATTTGTTCTTAAAATTCTAGCTTGAGTGCACTTGAACTATGCATTCACAACTGCTAAAATGTCAATGAAAAACGGACAAGGCCAGCGCGCGTGAAGGCTATTTCAATTGTAATCTTCCCTCTCATTGCTAAGGCGCAATGCTACAACTATTCGTACTCTCCGGAATGCGTGAGGTATCACACCGCACTTGAAGGCGTTTTCGAAACAGCCCAGTTTCTATATCGGAAGTGCTGTTTCGCGTGAAGTTCGGAGCTCAAAATCAATGTAGTTACTGATCTTACGAGCTAATGCAACACTTCTGTGCACGTCTCATTGTTTTAATTTTTTTCAAAAACTTTTGTCCAAGTTGAGAGGAAGCGTGTAAGCAGCCAGCGTGCGTGGAGGCTATGTCGTAATCTCCCGTCGCATTGCTAAGGCGCAATGATGCAACTATTCAGACTCTCCCGAATGCGCGAGGTACCACGCCGTAATTGAAGGCGTTTACAATACGCGCTGATGCCTCGTCTCAATTTTTTTTCTATCTAAACTTTTGTTTATTATTAGACCGTAAGATCAGTCATTCCATTGATCTCGCACTCCGAACGTTATGCGAATCGAAAAACCCAGTATCGTAATTTCGCGGTTTTGAAAACGCCTTCAAGTGGGGCGTGATACCTCACGCATTCCGGAGAGTACGTATAGTTGTAGCATTCCGCCTTAGCAAAGCGACGGGGGATTAAAACCGACAGATATCGATATCGGGATTGTCGTTTCGAATGAAGTTCGCGGAGCTCAAAATCAATGGACTGACTGATTTTACGTGCTGATGCCTCGTTTCAATTTATTTTTATCTAAACTTTTGTTTATTATGAGACCTTAAGACCAGTCATTCCATTGTTCTCGTACCCCGAGCGTCATGCGAATCGAAAAACCCAGTATTGTAATTTCGCGGTTTTGAAAACGTCTTCAAGTGCAGCGTGATACCTCTCGCATTCCGGAGAGTACGTATAGTTGTAGCATTGCGCCTTATCAAAGCGACGGGTGATTAAAATCGCCAAATATCGATATCGGTATTGTCGTTTCGTATGAAGTTATCGGAGCTGAAAATCAATGTACTGACGATGAAAATGATTTTACGTGCTGATGCCTTATTTCAATTTTTTTTATCTAAACTTTTGTTTATTATGAGACCGTAAGACCAGTCCTTCCATTGATCTCGTACTCCGAACGTCATGCGAATCGAAAAGCCCAGTATCGTAATTACGCAGTTTTGAAAACGCCTTCAAGTGCGGCGTGATACCTCACGCATTCCGGAGAGTACGAATAGTTGTATCATTGCGCCTGAGCAATGCTACGGAAGATCACAATAGAATTAGCCTCCATTCACGCTGGCCTTGGCCGTTTTCATTGATATTTTTGCAGTTTTGCATGCAAAGTTAAAGTGCGCTTCAGCCAGAATTGTTTTGAGAAATGGGTCATTTTATAGGAGAGCTAAAAAACAAGTGTTTAAAAATGAAACGAAAAAATAGGAACTAAAACAGGGCCGGATTAGCGCTCTGGATCCCAGAGTGTTGAAAGGATTAAAAGGCCCATTCATTGCGGGTTGTATACTTTAAATAGAAGGGACCTTTAAGGTAACCCGTCTAATCTGATTCTGAACCGAAGTCGACATTATAGAACAAAAATAGGACAGAAAAAAATTGTTCAAGAGCTAGTTGTATCAAGAGCGTCTTCCGTGATCCTAGTTAAAGATTGGTAGTTACGAGCAAAAAACCGCGCTTTTCCGATGATTGCAACGTTGCACACCTGCACTTGTGTTCCGCTTTGATTTATTTATTTTAGTTTCGAAGGCAAACAACAGTGTCTCTCAAAATTTTCCAAAAATTTTCCCAAATCGTTCCACGACAGGATTTCGCTGGGATATTTTTGAGGATATCGTGGTGATATTTTCGGTTAGTTCCCTATTCTTTTTTATTGAATGTAGTGATGAAAGAGGGATTACCGATAATCCGAATTTGTGCAACGTTGCAATTAAGATACATATTTTTCGTTCAACTATGATAAAAATAGGAAGCAGGTTGAGTATGTTGAAACGATGTCTTAGTTTTGTGTCGTTGCTTATTGCGCCGTGCCGTCTGCTATCGCAGAGTAATTGAGCATCGCAGTACAAAACGCCTTCAATCCAGCTAGCCGCAATGTGGACATCCCCCGTGGTCGAATAGTTGTATGAAGAGCGCCTTCCGTGCGATTCTAGTCAAATATTGATGGATACAAGCGAAAACCACTCACTTCACTTTCACTGGGGGAAAAGAGCAGAATTGACGTATGTTTTGTTCAGCATGCAATTAATTTTTAAAGATTTTGAGAATGTCATAGCGATGTCCTAGTTTTGCAACGCTACTCGCGCCGCGTCTGCTATGGCAGGGTAATTGAGACATCATCGCAGTACAAAACGCCTTCAATCCAGCTAGCCGCAATGTGGACATCCCCCGTGGTCGAATAGTTGTATGAAGAGCGCCTTCCGTACGATCCTAGTCAAATATTGATGAATACAAGCGAAAACCACTCACTTCACTTTCACTGGGGGAAAAGAGCAGAATTGACGTATGTTTTGTTCAGCATGCAATTAATTTTTAAAGATTTTGAGAATGTCATAGCGATGTCCTAGTTTTGCAACGCTACTCGCGCCGCGTCTGCTATGGCAGGGTAATTGAGACATCATCGCAGTACAAAACGCCTTCAATCCAGCTAGCAGCAATATGGACGTCCCCCGTGGTCGAATAGTTGTATGAAGAGCGCCTTCCGTGCGATTCTAGTCAAATATTGATGGATACAAGCGATACCGACGTTGCTTATCGACACTTATGTTTCGTTTCAGTTTATTTATTTTATTTTAGAAGGCAGACAACAGTGTTTCTTGAAATTTTCCGAGAATTTTACGAATCGTTTCACAATAGAGGATTTTGCTCTGAAATTTTATTTGTAACGCGTGAAAGACCCGATTTTTTCCACGGATAGCAACGTATTCACTTAATTTCATTTTTGGTTCTTTTATTTAATGGTAGAAGCCGAACAACAATTTTTCTTTATATAATATAACGAGAATATCCCTAAATCATTTCAGAATAGAGGATTTCTCGGCGATATTTTGTATGAGTCGATTTTTCTCCGATTGCACCGTATCACAATGCACTCCGCTACTCATGTTCCGTTTTCATTCATTCATTTCATTTTAAAAGTTAAACAGTAGTTTTTTTGCATAATTTAATTCCAAAATTAATCACAACATCAGAGTATATCGCGGTGTTACTTTGATTAGTTCCTTTTTCTTTTTTTTTCTTTCTTAAAAAAAGTAATAGAATCGGAACCAACAAAAGGACCTGCACAGGAACCTCGAGTTTTTTCCATTGTATATAGTTTATTATGAATATTCTGGCTCCATTGTCATGACTATAGATAAAGACTTTAGTTCTTAAAATTTAAAATGTTGCAGAGTGCAGCAGTTTCCAATAGTCGAAAACAGAACAGGACCCCAGACGATAGAATTTCTGACCAAACGAATCACAGCCTTAGGAGCGGTTCAGCAGGGGCAGTTTTTGGTCGATTGCGAAACTTACACGTCTGTTCCTGCTTTAGGTGAGTCAAAGTTTAAAAGTGTATTTTTTTATCAAGGGAAAATTGTTCTCATTGTCTTTCGGGTACATGTGTAGAACTGTGCTCCTCTTACTTAGTACCGAAGTAACATTTTGCCAAAATTTAAACGAAGTTGCAATTTAATGCCATAATTATTACTTTTTTGTAACATAAAGCTGTAATATTTTTCCATAATTTTGTCGAAAATGTCGATTTCGAACGACCACAATGAGTTCCGTGTTTAAAGAAGGTAAGCATTTTGCATTGGGGAAAAAAAAAACTCGCAACTTAATTCAGCAAGTGAAGTCCCTTCAATTAATGGGTAGGCAACATACATAACACTCCGATACAGGGGTAATAATTTTACCATTTAATCGCGATTAATTCCAATGTGTGGCATGTTTCTTGCTATACCGCTGAATGACATTTTTTCTGAAATCTCGTGTCTGGCGTGGTTTATTAATACTTGAAAGACAACAACCTGAGAAATTCTTGACATTGAAAGCCAATTTTTCACTATAGAATATTTAGTCGTTCAGTTGGCTTTAAGTGCTCGTCAGGTACGAAAATAATGTTAACAAGGGAACGAATAATGCAACGAAAAAAGGAAGAATGGAACGTCAAAAGTTATGCAAGTTTCATGTCGTATGTGGAACTCTTTGATGGGGGTAAATCCGTCGCCAACCTGACATAAGGGCGTAACTACAATCTGCAATGCACCCGGGGCTCCATATAATTTAATGCTTTTCCAGGATCATCTCAATGTGTAGTTACGCCTTTATGTCAGGCAAGCGGCGAAACTACAAAAATGAAAAGATCCTTTTTTCACCTGAGTTGTAAAAGCGGAGCAGCACACTGTTTCGTGGTGCAGAGGAAAGTCATCCATAAATTCAGTAATAGATGCACAAACTGTGGGGTTTTCATCCCAGATACGCCATTTACAACCCAACCCCATCCCTTTCAATGATAAAATGTGTAATTTTCATATCTTTTTATTTAGCCTCTTCTTTTTGCCTCTGAAACTCCCTGCAAAAATATTTGCCTTTTCGCGGCTCATTATATTGTGTAAGTTGACTTTCTCGCACCAGATTTCCTCTGCAAGCAGCGCCTAAAAGAGAGAAAGACGGAATCTAAGGAAGATAGAACAGCGCGCATATTTTCATGGAAACTAGCTGATATAATCGGGTCGATTTTACTCGGATAGTACAAGCAGAAGACATCCCTCTTTTTATTTTTCGCATCTATTCTCTCACTTTCCCATTCATCAATTGTATACGAGCCTTATCCAGTATGGACACAACGCCTTGCAGCGTGATTTCTGCCTCGTAATTTTTGTAGAATTTTCTTCTCGTGCTGTCCCGTTTCTGCTCGTCCCTCGCGTCGCACAGTGGATTTTGTCAATCAGAGGTCGGACATGAAAAATTTAACCAAAACTGCAAATTTTGATGTTTATTTCGTCACATTTTAATTTCCAAGGGATACCTAAAGAAGAAAATTTTACGCGAAAACCAATGGAACCACTGTTAGAACCTCAAAATTTTGTATAAACGGACTTATAAGCTTTTAAAGTTTTCAAATTTTGTCCGACTTCTCCTATCGACTCGGTCTAGTGTGCGTCACTTGCTTTTCGTAGACAGAAAAAAAGAGAAAATAATTCGGAGTAATTCTTCGTTGACTGAAAAACAGGCTGCAAAACGGTGCTTTAGCAGAAATTTCCAAAATGCTGACTGTTTGCGCCTCTGTCAGTTCTACATTTGTCTCTCATTAGGCATTCTTTTTGAATCCAATTGAATCATCTAAAGCAAGCGGAAAAGTCCAACACGTGGAGGTACACCCGAATAATAAGTGTTAAATAAACCACCTTGTCATATTTAAGGAAAAATATGTATCTTCATCGCAACTTTTTAGAATCTCGGATCTTTTTCCTTTCTTTATTGAAAAATGGAACACTCCGTAATAATCGAATTACAGACTGAAATGTTGAGTTTTCAAAAATACCATCTGATGGTAAGAATTCAACGTGCATCGATCGTACCCAAAATGCAGTGGCGTGGCGTGAATAAGCGATCATCGATATTTCTCCATTTGAAGCTGTAGTAAAGAATCAATTAACACCTCGATAATCGACCCTTTTCCATAGATTTAAATGGCAGATCAATCGATATATCGCAAAGCACGCCACGCAACCGCTAGAATGCGTTGCATCAAAGCTGAGGATCTACCTTGACGGTGCACGTTGGCTCTGACCCTGTGCAAAGGCTATCATGCAAAGGATGAACGCCGTATGTGCATTCGAATGTTGCCAAATTTCCTCTCAAAAATATTCATTTTTGAAAGAAGTCATTAATATTTTTCCTTGAAATTTTCAGACGCTTTAGATCAAATTGGGTACGAACCAAATTCTCTGAAAAATAAGAAGAAAAATTTTACAGATTTTCCTGAAAATTCATGATTAGTCAACGGAATTTAGCAACGTCTGAAGGCTCATACGGCGTTCTTTCTTAGCACGGCAGAAGGACCTGCCACTTCCAGGTGCGTTTGCTGCCTCAACTTTGAAATCTTCGTGTTTCCGAGCGTGGCGGACTCGTGGTAACTCTGCCGTCCTAAGGAACACCGTATGAACCTTTGAATGTTGCCAACTTTTCTTTGAAAAAAAAAACGCGAATTTTTAGGAAAACTTGAGACGACTTTTCTCCCTACTTTTCAGAAGGCTTTATTCGCAATTTGATCTAAAGTATGAAAACCCTTCAAGGTGAAATAGTCGTAACTTTTATAATTAATCAATGTTTTATCCGGGGAAATATGGCAACATGCGGAGGTTGATACGGCGTTTTTCCTCCACACGGCAGAACTCATGCCATGAATTATCAAGTTGCACCTCGCAGCGAAGTTTGAAGCTCTGAAGTACGGAAGCACGGGGGAACTTCCGTTGGAGGAGAGCAATAATTCACGCGCCGCGGAAGTTGCGATGAATCCTCCTGGAGAATAAAACTGAAAGAGAACGCGGAAAACTCGCCGAGACGCCCAAACTGCCGTTTCGCGGTAGAACGCCGTATGAAACATTTGAGAGTTGCCGAATTTCCCTCGGTAAAACATTTATTTTTGACGACACTCATGCATATTCTTTCTTGAAGCTTTCAGATATTTTAGATACTATTGCGCGCAAAATCGTCTGAAAGTTTTGGTAAATAATCTTCGCAATTTTCCCAGTAAATTCGGTTTTTATCAGAAGGAACTTGGCAACGTCTGAAGGCTCTTACGGTGTTCATCCTTAGCACGGCAGCAAGGAAAGTTCTCAAAAATATTGCCCCTCTCCAGTGTTTGTTATGGTGTGTTTCTCGTGGCTCTCGGAGTTTTACTCTGATTTTTTGTATTGTTTTCTCAGACGAGGCTCGAATTTAAGCATTATGGCACATGTATTTTCATTTTTTAATGTGGGGCACAATCTGTGCAAAGAAAATTGCAATCTTTTACCTTGAAATTGCAATCTTTTGCAATCTTTTACCTTGAAATTGTAATATTTTCACATCATTCGGTCAATGAATGCCGATTTTAAAAAATCAACGAAATGATCGCCATGTGTCAGAAAGAATGACAATATGCAATGATGTAAAAAATTGCAACTTATTTCAATTAGTGTTCCCTCGATTAGTAGATGGCAACATACACAAGTATGAAATAGCAATAATTTTACCACGTCATTGCAACATGTGTTACTTGGGATTTACCTCGTCAAATTGTAGCGCCCTTGCTGTGATTGAGCCTGGTTCAGCTGCTTTCGTCAAGATATACCCTTAAGCCCGACCAGCAAAGACGTTCGAGATGTCAATAGAGTCATCCGTGCATCATAAATTTGATTTCGTACTCTGTGCAATCGGTAGCCGAGATGAAAGGCACAGGAAGCACAGGAATTTTTGAGGCATTCTTTATATCTCTTAATTTTTTTCGAACAATCTGGAAAGCCCACAAAAATTACATTAGGTTCAACTTACTTTATGGTCCCGACCTATGTATAATTAGTTTGCTTCCCCCGATAGCCATATACATAGTTCGGGACCAAAAAGTAAGTTGCAGATAGTGTAATTATGTCACTCGACAAAGTGATTAAAAACCCAAGCCTTGAAGCACGAAAATTATCTCCGTAATCCTTGAAATATCCTTAAGACTCCTAGTTCACTGTTTGAACTCCTTGAGAGGTCCTCAAAAGCCCTCCTTTTGGTATTCAAAATCCTCCATGAATCTAATTGAGATGCCTTTGCAATTTCAAATTTTTTATCTGTAGTTTGTTGAGTTTTTCCGCTACTTTTAAGGTTGCAACTCAGGAATAGCGAATCAGTAATTGTCTCTGAAATATATAATCAGAGGCAACGCGGTATTTCTCATCATCGCTGCAACCCTCATAAAATTGGGACAAAGCTGAACTAATAAAATTCAGTAGTTAGAACTAGGCCGTACATTATTGTGATCAATATTTTTTTGGAACAGATAGAACCTGTCAGGAAAATATTTTAAACGTATAGAAGCTTATTAATTTTCATAAAACTTTATCAACAGCAACTAAATCCCCATCCACCCTCTTGAAAGAGACATTATACCCTCAGGAATTAAATAGAGTTTCTTTAAAACGGATTAATAAATCATTAATCTTGATCATAACACTTGTGCTTTTCTAGGCACAAATGATGACTTCTTTTTATTTGTTCTGAATTGCATCATTATAGTTAGTTGTAATTAGGTTCTAACCGACAGGAACAATGAAATGGACCGGTAAACATGACAAAATTGACTGGAAACTTTTTTTAGAATTATTTATTTTTGAACATTTTTTTTCTTTTTTTTCTTTTTTACCGTAAACAATGACATCATTTTTAGCAGTTCGTAACAGGTTCTCAACTTTGTATAAAAAAATAAAATTATGACGATAAAAGTTTAAATTAAATGAATTAACGCGTGAAAAAAGAAAGGAAATTGATTACGTCACGTTTTCATCATCCGAATCAAAG